ATGAGGAAAGCCGGTAAAGAACAGCAACAAGTCTTATATGTTCTCCCTATAATGGCCCATTAATATAAAATCATGACACGGAGCGCATGCTGAAAGGTTAGGGTTAGGGTTACATTGGACCTGTTGTTTTACTGCTGTAGGAAAATGGGCACCGACACGTTGAATTTCAGAGGTGTTAGCATCGATTACTAACCTTCTGATATTCCTACTGATAACGAATCATTTGAAAGGGACTCGGGAGTATCCTCTCTTGTGTGATCCCGCTGAGATGGGGATGGATATCATTCTCCCTGTAATTGGCAAACAGACATTAAATGAGTACAAGAAAGAGAATCAGAAGAGTGAAATGGATCCCGCTTGACCTCTTGTTTTGCTGAGACTGATATGATGAGACTCCTCTGTCTAAGCAGCTTCACTCCCTCATCAGTCCAACATAATTTAACATGCAGACCTGCTGTTACTCAATCTGTGCCATGCTTCCTTCCTCTGCTCTGTCTAATAGCTCTTCCCATGTGTTACTCTGTAGTTGTATTCACGTTGAAAACTGAACCAGGCTCACATTTCATCTGCTTAGACAAATGCAGCGTTATCCACAAAATCCTTCCTGGAGAGAGGCTCATTCAACACTGCACCAAAAACATTTGAAGGAGAGTTTGGGGTTCATTTTTGGGCTTATTTGGTGCCAAATTCTGTTATTTCTTATATGTATATCCCATTAGAATGACATTTAATGTCCATTGTCCATAATCTAAATTAAAGTTTGGAAAAATACATTAATTAGGCATTTAAAAGTCAAATCCTAAACCAATCTGCCGTTTACTTAAAGGGGACCTATCATGCAAAATGTGCTTTTGTACGTCTTTTATACATGAATATGTTTCTCCGGTGTGTCAGGGAACTCACCAAGTGTCAGAAAACACAACCCTCTCTCTTTTCCTCCGTACCCAAATCTCTAAAAACGGGGCTGCAACGGATCTGATTATTATTTGAATTTTTCTGACGTCAGAAAAGGGGTGCTCCGCCTATATGGGCAACTCTCCACCTATCAGGGGAATGAGAGACCGCTCGAAAGTGCTGGAGACGCTGTGTAGTACATATGCCAGCCCTGTAAGTGGCGCTGTAGTCTGCCACAACAGCAGAATCAGCCCTTGCAAAAACAGGGCTGGAAAAGAGCAAATAGAGCGAAATGAGGCATGGCTAAAATGCATGATCTGTTTGGTATTTTGAAAAGAAAACTTCACAGACATGTTTTATATAGGTATGGCCCTACAATATATGTTTCACATATAGCATGATAGGTCCACTTTAACCCTGATTTAATTGACAGTGGCTTTATAAGCAAACAACCCCTCAGCTGTTGTCAGATTAATCCAGATTAGTGTTTAGAAAGTGACATCACAACCACCTTTTACAGACTGGGCCTCATCCACCAACTAGTGCAAAAAGCTCAGAGGAACAAGCACACATCATGAAATCTCAACACGAAAGAATAATAATAATATATACTCAAGAAAATTGGTTTTCAGAACCTTTCACAAGTTCCTCAATTCCATTATTTCATGATGAGGTGACCAAGATGCCAGCAATGACTTTAAAAGAGGTTTCATTTTACAGTGTTTTTCCTGGGTGCTTATTGTCTTCTGTTGGACGTGTGAAGCAGGTATTATCAATAGCAGAGGAGCATTTAAAAGCGATTTATTTTTCCCCTGACCTTAATTGTCTGTTAAAAGCAATGGTTAAGGAATCCCTTGCTGACACAAACACCTTTAAAATGGATCCGCTGTGCGTTATCAACACCCCGACTTGGTGTGAAATCGATGTGCAGCCCTGTGCTTGTTCTCAAACCGGCGTCTTATAGAAACAGCTTCGTGATACTTCATTGACGGCGCTATTGGAGCAGTGTGAGGGAAACGCCTCAACTAAAAGCAGCATGATGTATTTTCACTTTGAAAGAAGATGAAATAAACAAGATTGTTGTCGATCCAGACGCTTTTTGTCGGGGGCAGCATAAATAGTTTTGTCCTTGATGGTAGTGAGTGAATTAACAAGGCAGATATTGATCTTTCGCTGGGAGTTTCCTCTCTATTATCTGATGGTGATTTAGAGAGTGAGAGAGAGACAATTGGCGAGTGTGAGAGGGCGATCAATAGTGTTTTCAGGTTTGCCGTATGGAGAAAGGTGACAGGCAGCGAGAAGGGCATGAACAATACGTCGTATTGATCAGAGGCATAAGCTGATTTCACTTTAGGAACCTGATACCACACAATCGCTGCTGTGGGTCGGCCATGATTATGCCATCATGTGTTGATCATAAATCAACTAATAGGTTATGATGGACTAATGGGTACGAAAGAATTAGCTCCACCTTTACCAGCTGTCAAATAAAAATAAAGTACATTTTATAATTATAATCCAGTGATATAATATATATTATTCTGAAAATGGCTATGCTGCACAATTAATTTTAAGTTAGGGTACTTTAAATATAGTTGGATGCTAATAAAGGTGTACTTTTACTTAAGTAAAGATTTCCATTACATTTGCGTATCAAGAATAATTATTCTTGACTTTCATAATCTGACCCTGCCCGTGTCCCTGACACGAGTAAGGAGAGAGCTTTGACATTTGCTGCTCTTTGTCAGTAGGTCACGATGAAAGCACAGACGGGGTTTCATGGACACTTATTGATCGGGCTGTCTCGCGGTTAGCTGTACAGATAGATGATAGGCACAGAGGAGGAAGAGCCTGAGCTGTTTTCCAGGAAGTACAACAAAGGCCGCTTTGTGAGGCGCTTGTGTGTGTCCATCCATCTCCTGCTGTCCGCTCAACCCGCTGAAAATGGCGGGGTAATTCACTTAGCCTCACTGTGGACGGCCATTATCTGTGGGTGGTGTGTCTGTCTGCGGGGGGGTTCTGCCATGATATCATCATGGCACTCACTTAAGTATAAATCACAGCAGAGTGATATCTGCCGTCTGGCGATAATTGCTAAATTGCGGACCTTTAAAGGCCCTACACTCTTTGCTAATACAACTTCTCTCTGTGATAATCACATTTTCCACTTTAGCAGTCAACTCAAAACAATCACAGCAGTACAGAATGTGAAAGTTCCGTATTTAACATCCAATTTACAGCACATTTAAGTATGAAAGGACCCATCATTTTTTTTCGTAAAAACGACACCTTTCCGAAGCATAGTTATACAATTAAATCATTATGTCCTTTCCTGTAGTGTGTTATATAGTTTCAATGTTATTAAACAGTACATATATTATATTTTTCAAGAAGCTAAATGGTTAAATAAGGGTACATCGTCTTAAATGACTTACACTATTTCATATAATTTTAGTAGAAAGGAAGGGTGTTACAGAGTCATTGGTATCAGTTTGTAATTACTAAACTGTTAAATAAAATCTTTTGTTTCTATTTTCAGAAATATACAAACTAAATAAAGTAGTATTATCAAGTAGTAAATCCAAGGGACACTGATCACTCTGGTTGTAGTTTCAAAAAGGGAATTTTCCAGAGCAGCATCGCTATGAAACGCCCTTGAATCTGAATTCTTTATAAAGCTGTTGAATGAACGCTTCAAGGAAATAGGCAGCCTTGAGGAATGAAATAAATAAAATGTCGGCTTTTTATTTGGGCTTTATATTTGGTTGCTGTCTCTGACATCCTAAGGTCACAGCACGCAAGATGAACATTTTCAATTTCCCTTTTATCGATGTTTTCGTTTTGAAAAACTTTTAGAAAATAGCTGAAATCCTCCCTGCACTGACTCCTGACTCTGAATTCAATAGATAAGAGCGGAGAGTTGTGTTGGCTGGTTGAAAGGTTTTCGTGCTGCACTTTCTGAAGCGTCTTTCGTGGCAGATCAGAACGATGCAGAGGCACGAAAGGTGCTGGAGACGGAAAAAAGTCATTACCAGAGGAAGCGGGAGCAAATTGGTGTGACAAAGACAAACATAATTGCACATATGAAGGATGTTAAATGCTATAGCTGTTAGGTTTGCAATGCTTTCTATTTCATTATCCTCTAACACCCTCAGACGCACTCAATGATGTTTTTCATTTACACCCTAATCACACTCTGTAAACCTCATACTTCCAGCTCTGTGGTATTTTTTCAGTTCATATCTTCTTCTTTTTTAACAGCAGCAGGATATGAGAAATGTGATTTATAGTTTCATCCTTCTCCACTTAGTTGAAAATGTGGCTCAGACAGTTTCTTCAACCTTTGTACTGTAATTCAGTTGAAGATGTTGTTCTGGAAAGGAAGGTTGAGGCTATTTTGCTGAAATAAAGTTCACATCGTCCATGCAAAGGATAACAGTTCATTTATATTCTATGCTCAGCTAACCGCCTCTTGATAATAGCTTAAGAATAAGCAAACAGACCATAGATTGTATCAAAGAAGTGGACATAGTCACCGTGATTTCCCACATTTCTTTGTTTACTACAGTTTTCAAGCCTCAAGTTTCACTGTTTTGGACGTGGCCATCTTGTTTTTTTGGTATTTCAAGAACTACGAGAGGGGGGCGCAACTGAACGAAGAATGAGACATTTTTGGGCAACCAAAACATTTAACTTTCCTTTCAACACACTGTGTAAGTGTTCAGGTTGTCATGTGACAACACCCATACTGAGGACACTGGTAGCGACCTGTCAATCATAATGTAACACCCTTAGCATACCCTGCATTGGAACATCATTTACTAAAGAGACCTCATGCTGTATCGAACAATAATTGAATCTAGAGATTGAGAACATAACAAATGTTAAGAAAATGTTTACAGAGATAATAAATCAAGTAAGAAGTAGGGTCATTTTCTCCTAGACTTTTAGAGAAAATGCAGGTTTAAGGCCATTTCCCAATGGCTTGACTTTTCAGATCTGAAGGTAAATAACTTTCAGGAAAAAAAAGGAATCCCTATATATATATATATTCCTAACGTACATTATCGCCATTTTATCGTACAATTGTTTTTGTCTCTCTGCAGGAATTTCTACTACATCACGATGCTACGCGACCCCGTGTCACGCTACCTCAGTGAGTGGAAACACGTGCAGCGCGGGGCCACTTGGAAAACTGCCCTCCATATGTGTGACGGCCGCTCCCCCACTGAGGACGAGCTCCCCGCCTGCTACAGTGGGGACGACTGGACCGGCGTGCCCCTGATCGACTTCATGAGCTGCCCTTCGAACCTGGCCAACAACCGGCAGGTGCGCATGCTGGCCGACCTCAGCCTGGTGGGCTGCTACAACATGTCGTCGGTGAGCGAGCTGGAGCGAGGCCAGGTGCTGCTCGCCAGCGCCAAAGCCAACCTGCTCAATATGGCTTTCTTCGGCCTGACGGAGTTCCAGCGCAAGACGCAGTACCTGTTCGAGCGGACGTTCGGCCTGCGCTTCATCCGGGCCTTCACGCAGATCAACAGCACGCGGGCCGCCAGCGTGGGCATCAGCGAGAAGGTGCGGTGGCGCATCGAGGGGCTGAACGCTCTGGACGTGGAGCTCTACGAGTACGCCAAGGAGCTGTTCCTGCGGCGCTACCAGTACAGCCGGCAGAAGCAGCACCAGGAGGAGCGGCTGAGGCGGTGGCAGGAGAGGCAGCAGAGGCAGCGGCTGCACAGGACCTATCTGTCCGAGCTGTGGAGACTGGGAGGAGGAGGAGGGGAGGAGGAAGAGGAGCAGATGAAAGGGCTGGAGGAGGTAGCTACCACCGAGGACTACAGCAGCCAGGTGGTGAGGTGGTGAGGAGGTGAGGAGGACACATGGGCGCCTGTTTGATTCATCGTGCTTTACTCTCCTCCCCAGAATCTGCCAAATCCTCCTGCCCGCATAGCTAATTGTTGGACTGCCGAACGGTGTCTTAATATTTATGATGGATGTATTTGTCATGGCAACATAAACATTTTGTATTTTTGTTTTCTATGGCTACTTTTGGGACTGCAGATGTGAATTGTGTTTATTTATCCATTACCAATAGCTTCTAATGGTCTCAAAGTGGTGAAAACGTTTCTTAAAGTTCGCTAACAATTAGGGAAAAAAATGGCTGACTTGAAGGATCCTCTGTGTAACGTGTGTGATCTAGTGTGTTGATCAGTGAAATTCTGTAGTTACTCTGTTGTGTTTGGCTTCATAAGAATATCAAAGCACAAACTTGGCAATAGTCGTTGGTGTTTTTTTTTTTCTTGGACTGCGGCAGTATACAGACATCGCAGGAAAGGTGTTCAATGAAAATAATGCAGTACAGTCACGTACATTTGACTCTCTGGTACGCATGTGTACATGAACGTGTTCCACCTTGCTTCTTTTTCACAGCATGTTCTCACCATAAAAAATCAGAAATCTCCGTGCCGTGTGCCAACTTCTTCCATATCCACCACGCATGTACAGACACACTGACGCACATCGAGGGGAGCTGTCAGAGCGGGATTCAGCACTCCTACATCACAGGGAGAGAGCATCAGTATTTCCACCATTAGGCATTGATCACAGGCTCTTGCTTCTAAATTGATCGTTTAAAGTTCAATTGGCCATGACTCTGGCACAGCAGAAAATAGAAGAAACCAATTGGCTCCCTACTCTTCATAATCTCACAAACATACAGCACTGCTCTCCATTTGCAACCCGAGAGAAAAAACAATCCCTTTCAACACATTTATGCAGAAAGGAAATGTTAGGTGCTGGAATGATTTATATTAATATTGTGTTTCTGGAAAATTGCGTCTGTAATAAGCACTTCCCCAACGCTCCGTGCAGACGTTTTTTGTTAGTGAGATGGAAAATAAGGATGAGGAGGAGATCAGTCAGGAGGTATGGAAGGAAATGACTATGTCCACAGACAAAAATAGCCACTCCATCCCCAGCCGCAGTCTCCATTCTACTCGCACAGCTTGTAACAGAGAAAGATTAGAATTATATAAGCCTGTGATAATGAGGTTGCATGTGTACTGAAGCGCACATAAACGTGAAAAACACCTTAAAATGTTACATTAATGCAATTTGATATACAAAGTTTGATATTTGCACAGCTTGCTAATTGTTTTGTGATATGAACCAGAAAGCAGGATTTGACATATGGCTTCCAAGATACAGACAAATAGCTTCTTTATCTACGGATGTCTCTCTGTTGACAGGGGGAATTTGTTCCGGGAGGTTTGAGTTAGATGATCACAAACAGATTTGAGTCTTGGTAGTAAAACATTTTAGATACCAACCTTGTGGTCCTCAGTGTTCTCTGTCCAGCAGCATAGAGCAGAACATGTTTAGCTAACGGGGAAGGTGAATGCTTCTGCAAGGAGAATTTTAAGTGCTCACAACCTCCGAGTCTTTCACAGATAGCTGCAGGAAGCGTTGTCGGGCTGTAAAATCATTTAACACACCGTTAGGGAGACAAACAGCAAAGCATGTGGATTGTTAGTATCTCCATCAAAAGTGTTGGGCACTGAGGCAACAAAAGAAAAACAAGTTCAATCATTAACACAGAAGAATTGACCTCTCAAGAAACAAGTTAAATGATCTTTTGTGTCAATGAAAAACGTTTTGATAAGTTTATCTAAACAACAAATACATATAGACAATATAATAATATATTATCTTACACATTTGACTTTTATAATTTTTTAACCAGGCAAAAATAATGTCAAGTTAATGCTAGACTAAAATGAGCTAGCTACAAAATCTCCACCACTAAACTTAAATAAAAAAAATAGAATAGTGTTTTACATGAAATTGAAATTGCTTTATCTTTATGGTTAAGAAACATAGGTTTAATGTAAAAACAAAGAAAGATAATATATTCTGTATCAACAAAAAATAAACAAAGATAAAGTGACTAGAAATAGCAATAGCAAGTTAGCTAAATAGCTAAATAGCATTTTACAGGGGAAATTCATCGTACTTTACATAAATAAATACAAAAAAGCTGACAAAGGAATGCTAACTCACTTCCTGGTTGTATGACTGAACATTCTATCAATAGGAACAAACTAATATATGGCATCATTTCTCAGGTAAATTATACTGACGTGTGTTAACACTTTACATGCACTTCTAACAGCTTTAATTTTAAAACAGTTTTATTTACATTTCAGGCGTTTAGATGAGTAAAACCTACGTCACTTCCGGGCGAAAATTACGGCCCCGCCCACTTTTTGGGGGAAACAACGCTGTCATTTGAATGGCGGTCAATACAGATTCTGACGTTTTTGCCAATCCGATCAGAATTTTTTGAAAACCGTGAATTTTTGGATCTTCAGAGCTCGATATATGGTTACATTAAAAATCAGTAGGCGAGGATGTCATTTCGCCAGCTGTTACTCTCATGAGCGAGGCGGAAAATAATAGTTTTATCATGCCAACAAGCTGCTGTGTCGTTTATTGCACCTCAAACATTAAAACAAATCCAGAGTTACGTTGTTCTGTACTTCCTCTAAGAACAAAGGACAGTAAAAGAAGAGCTCTGTGGCTTCAGGCTCGATCGCCAACGCCATAGAGTGGCGAAGTCACGCCCCATCTACTTCCGGTCCATGGGACCTCGGAAAAATGATGTATAGAGTGGCGAAGTCCCTCCCCTTCCGGCGGACCTCCATGGGACCTTATTTCGGAAAAAGTATGGATCGAAGTCAATGGAGAGAGAAAGATTATCTTTTGATCCCGTTTGAATTGTGCAACGAATTACACATATGATGTTAGTCAATTTAAAAGATAATTTTGCAAGTCAAAAAAAATTGTTTTGCCGTAAAACTGTGAAGTAACACATTAGGCTTGTTTGAGACAAGCGAGACCTGCGCAGACCTGCGCAATTTCGATCAACGTCTTGCTAGTGCGTTGCATGATGGTTAGTCATTTTTGTCCGACTTGCTCTGGAGGCTCGCCAACATGAGACGTTGAAATCTCGCGGGACAAGACGCCCGCAGCCTTGAGAGCGAGGCGGCGCAGTTCCTCTCCACGGGCTGCGGAAGCAAAATGCTTGATGGGAAACGACTCGCTGGTATCTCGAGCTGAGCGCTCATTGGTGGTTTTTACCCCGTGCTGCTGATGAAACTCTCCAATTGGCTCGGCAAAAGTTTGTTGTTGTTTTGTGTCAGTTTTACGTCGCCCCCTCCATTAACATTTTTCATAATTGTTCCACAATGTTTATCATCATGAAATTAATATCTATATATGTTATACTATACTTGCACTGCTTACCGTTTTCATACTTTATATATCTTAGCATATTCATACACACTGTTCATACTGCTCACAGGCTGATATCTAGTGTATTCATACCACTCACTGTTTATTCATCATTCAATTCATTCTATATTTTATTCTGTAAATTTTGTACATTACTTTTCACTTCACTGCTTGTTGCACCTGGTTAGAAACTAAACTGCATTTTGTTGTCTCAGTACCTGTAATATGTGCAATAACAATAAAGTTGAATCTAATCTTGAGCAGGAACAAATGTATTTACTTAGTACATATCTGACATTAACGATTAAACACATGTGTGCATTCTTTATAAATGCAAACTGAGTCAAGCCGACTCCGGAGGTGGCGGTATGCACCTTAAGGTAGTTTGCAATCCGCCAAAAAACCGAGTGAAGAAGAAGAAGACGACTCCGAGCTGTCCGACTTCAGGCGAGCTTTTTGAGACCTCCCCCGGCTGCGATCGGCTATTCTCGTCTACTTTCGAGGCGAGCCGCAACGCGTCTCAAACAAGCCTATTGTTTTGTGTGAAGCGCTCAATGAACTACATCTCTGGTCTTGCATACGTCACCAACACCAAGATGGCCGTCACGTTAGCACATTGCACCTCTTTCTTTCAGAATGAAGCGAAAAGTATTAAAAGAGGTGAAAATCAATACAAGTCTGGCCATGTTGAGAACATACACAAAAGGGGAGTTAGTCGGTTCCAGCATGCGGGACCGGCATTACAAGTTTTATTTGTAGTCTTTCTAGTTGCGTATTTTTCATAGTCTTATATTTCAACAGTTTTAAGACAAACTGTGACTTTTTTTACATGGAAATTATTTTTTAAGATTGACAAACATCATATGTGTAATTTGTGGCACAATTCAAATGGGATCGAAAGATAATCTTTCTCTCCCCATTGACTTCAATACATAATTTTTCAGAAATAAGGTCCCATGGGGCGGAAGTAGATGGGCGTGACTTCGCCACTAGTCAATGGAGAGAGAAAACTTGTCTTTCGATCCCGCCAAAAATCCACGGTTTTCTTACATTTCTGATCGGATTGGCAAAATCAAATGACAGCGTTGTTTTCCCCCAAAAGTGGGCGGAGCCGTACTTTTTGCCCGGAAGTGACGCATTTGTTACTCTCATGTATACAACTATTTATTGTCTGTGGGAAGCACACAATGGATATCATGCAGCTTTCCCGACATTGTGTTTGAGTCAGAAGGCTTAAAGTAATTCCACAAAAAAGATGGAAGTCATTCTGGCGTTGGACTGTCAGTGGTCAGCCGGCATGTCAGGGCCTGCCTGGCTGATGATGGCCAGGTGGAGCACTGACCTAACCTTTGTCAGCCAGTTTTCAGGGTAAAAAGGGCTGATGAAGGCCCTCCTAAACTTATCCCCTGACAGAGTGTACAGAGCCAGGTTAGAAAACGTGTTGACACCAGCCAGAGGCCTAGAGATAATATACACTGCATGCACGATGCGCTCCACCGTGCATGACGTCGTTCTAGTATCTATCCGCAAAATACGCAGGATGTGATAAGGCAGGAAACACACCACAAACACCACCAGGATCAACACGGTCACGTGCCGCGCACGCTTCCTGAACGGACTGGACGTGGAGAGCCCATTCGCTAACTGCTTCACGATACCGACGTAACACATGGATACTACCACAAGGGGAAGTAGAAATCCGATTGCAGTGAGCAGCCTGCCGTACCAGCGCAGGTGGACAGGTATGGCGCTAGCAAAGTCCAAGCAGTAGGTCTTGTTGTTGCGTTTATCCAAGGATATCATCGTCAACATTGGTGTGACTTCGGCAGCAGTGATGATCCAGACGGCTGTGCACGCAACTATTCCCCAAACCTTCTGCTGCACCTGAGCGGCCCTCAGAGGCTGAATCACCACCACGTAACGGAACACTGCGAGACACGTCAGGAAGAGGATGCTCCCGTACAGGTTGAAATGAAAACCAAAGCGCACAAAGCGGCACATGAAGTCACCGAGGGTCCATGATTCCCCGTTGCTGTAGTAGTAGACCAGGAAGGGCAGACTGAGCACGTAGAGGAGGTCCGTCAGCGCCAGGTTGACCATGATGATGCTGCTGCTCTTCCAGGGGCGCAGCTTCGTCAGGTAGATGCCAATGGCAGTGATGTTTCCCACTAGGCCCACCACAAAGATGACGCTGTAGCAGACAGGCAGGTAGTAGCGCTTCATCAGTTGGTCGACAATAGTGCAGTTGAGATGTTCTTCGTAGTCGAGGATGCTGGCTGCCATTGTTGACTTCTGTTGACTGTGAAAATATTTTACAAACCGCGTTACAATTATAAAAAAACACAGCAACATTTTTCAAAATGTTCATTACATTTGGAAGGGTCTAGCATGGGCCAAAAGGGAACCACGATGTCCCTTTGATTTTGGAGCGGATCAGAACAATTTGACGAATATTTGAAATATTTAGACCTTAGGGCCTTGGTGAAGGTCTACTCTGCGCACTTCAAGTACCCCTCTAGTGTTACTTGTTCTTTGATACAAACATATGATATATGAGATCAGAAATGTTGGTGATTAATCTCATAATCAACTAAAAGATCTAACTAACAAATCCCCTGTTAAAATTAATATGGTAAAAAAAACTGGGACCTGCTTAATGCTCAACTTATTTTATCTGCTTTTCACAAATTTGGCCAATTTAGTTCAAATGAATACTAAAATGCTCTGCAAAGCTTCTAGAAGTTGTCTGGGTTCATCATTATGAGTCAATACTGCAAATAACAGTACTTTGATTCAATGAGTATATGTATAAAAATGCTGAACAAATGATACTTTTTTTGTCCATTTGTAATAGATGTTTCCAGCATGAAGATTATCTGTTTTTTCCGATTCCAATTGGCTGAGTCATACATTATATGTTGTTGGAGGACAAAAAACAACGGCAGCGAACACATCCTCATTCCCTTTCCCTCAGCTGTCAGATACTCATTGGTAATTACCACTGGAAGTCACAGGCACAGAAACCCAGAGGCGAGCAGACTAGCAAAGAAACAAATAATCAAGTAAACTCAGCGGGAAAGAAGTAAACAACAGCTTCTTCCTTCTTCTGCAAACAGTCTGTTTTCTGAAAGCCACTATGGATTTGATGGAGCCTGTGGCAAGCTTTCTGTAATACAGTACATTCAATCTGCTCTCATTATAGAACTGGGGACACGTGCCTGGTGTTATTTGGCATATACACTCAGATTTCACAAGGCAATACTTGTACTACACTTTGTGAACAAATACAAGTTCTATAAAGTGAGTTTTATCCATACAGAAATGCTGAGTGATAAAGGTTGAAAAACTGATCTTTCTACTCACTTCTAGTTCCAGTGTCTACATCAGTGCTCACTCCAAGCCTTCAGTGTATTGTGTTTTCTCACCCATCCCTCCGTCGCTCCCCCTCCTCCTCGCTCCACTTCCCTTCAACCCTTCTTCACACACGGGGAACTCCAGCAGGGTTTAGTTTTGAGCCCACTGTTGTGTGCTTCATCTTGAGCCATGTGCACTGGTTTCCTGGTTGCATGCTTGAGCTGATAGAGCTCAAGGTTCGCTGTATTTACACAGATCAGGTTTCAGGTGAAAATTGCTAAGAATAACGGGAAAACAAGTCCGACAACACAGATGAAGTGAACTCTCCAGTGAGTAACCTCAGGAGTTTCTTTAGAAGTTATTACTTCTTAAAGGCATGTCAACGCCTTTAACAAGGGCAATATTTGGCACGGACATACCTTGATTTCGGATAAAAGTAATGAGGAAGTTTAGCAAGATGTGGGAAATAAATGACTGTGCAAAACATACGGTAGTGTCAGGCGAAAAATAAATAGCTTTTCGCATTTTGAGCATAAAGTCTACATGTTGAGAATAAAGTCATATATTCTGAAAGTTCAACAACAATACATTGTTCTCTTGCAAAGTGGAATAAGTTTTACCCTGGTTCGGGCCATAGAAAATATTTCGCACCAGGGCCAATAAGAACTATATTGGCAACTTTTTTGTCTTAGATTTTGAATGCCACTGACCTGGCTGGGATCGGCAGACTGGACCAAAACAACGAGCTAAAAGGTGGATGATAATCAATTATTGATGAGAGGCTCTCCTGCTAAAGTGTATTGACAGTGGACTTGAGAGAAAGACATTAACTACTGCCAACTAGCCTCACATGCCTTTGTTTGTTTATTGCTGCCAATTGAACTTTGGGCTACCTTTTAAACAGCAGCCTCTCCATTTTAAGTCCCACTTCATTTGATTTCATTAACTGTATTTCAGCTATTTCAAATCTCTTGATCGAGTTTCAAACATAGACCAGCACAGTTCGACTTTCAGTCAAACAAGGTAGAAGAAAGTGAAATTATATTACCTTACATTTCTAGAGTTAATTATCCTCCTTAACACACCAGTTGTACAAATATTTGTGAACAATGATTGTCTAAATGTGGTGAGAAATCCTTCAACATCCTGTGCCATCACCTGGTAATGTAAGTGTTAAATCAACGATATGACAATGAGTCAGTGTGAATGTATTAAAGGTCAGTGAGAGGCGAAACTGTGGAGACATACTTTAACTTCTCCACTCACGTTTCATGGTTCCATTTCTCGAACATGCAGTGAAGTAACTCATGGACATGCTGACACAAATGAAGGTGTGACATGTTTGAAGATTATTTTGTAGTGTTTAAATGTCAACACTTCACCTGCTATTAACCCAGTTCCACTTCTCTGTTTACCTGACGCTACAAAGAAGCTACAAATACATCTTCTCTCGCTCCCTCGACGTGTCCCTTCTCTGATCACACGAATCAGAAAAAGAAGCAGAAGTTTACAAATGTTTATTTTACAAAAGAAATGCTAGAAATGGTGTAAACAGAGTTCTATAGATCAATCTTAATTATGATGTCTTTTTTTTTTTTTAATACTGTGGGGATAGTGCAGTCTTTCAAGAGAAACTGAGTGTTTATAGTAAAGAAAAGTGAATGTCAAAGGTGAACTCGACACAGAAATGTGAGTGCAGAGGATGAGACGACTCGGAGGCAGCGCTGGGGGATGTGGCGGGTGTCAGGAGGTGTTGGTGGGGGGTTAGAAAGAAAGGAAGGAAGAAAGTGCTTCTGTCTACAGTTTGGGCATCCTGGCAGCGTTGAGGCTCATGGACACACAGGAGGAGCCGGCAGCGTAGCGCATCTCCCTCAGCATCCCGCTCCACTGCTTCTTATCCTCCTCATACCTAACAAGACAACACAGTCAGATCTCCAGATGCAACCAAGAAAAACATGTCAACTCTGGTCCCATAACTTGAGAAGACTTACTGCCAGACGTCAGTGACCTCAGTGGGAGCCACCTCTTTGTCCTCGTTCTGAACCATGGCGAAGCCGCCCACAGCGTACAGCGAGCCACCGTTACTCAGCAGGTTGACAGAGCTCCTCTCCTGGGGGAACTCAGTGTAGGGCTCCCACCTGAGGAGAAGCACCATGAGGAGAAGGTCAGGCGTGAGATGGAGCTGTACCACGGAGCAATTTCATTTTTTGTGTGGCTGAGATAAGGTAAGGTGTCGTATTTGGGAGCCAGAAAAGCTAAATATTAAATAAATAAACAAGACATTCTTAAATAGATGATGAAAAATAAATATAGATGTCTTGATTTTATTGTGGTGTTTCCCTTCATGTCAATTTGTGGTTTAAATGACAGATAATGATTCTTAGATAATTAAGTCCCCTCTGCTATTCTTTAGCTAGCGAGCTCAAATAAAAGATGTTACTTAAATAATTAGTTAGCTCCTGGTAGCTATCAACAATGTCAAAAAGCATTCGGAATCCACCTAGTAGAGGCTAATGTAAATAAAAAAGTTCACTAGGAATACCTTTGACATCAATTGACTGCACCTGTACTAACCTAGCTAGCAAGCTAAAGGGTTTATTACTAAACAATGGCATTTAAGTTAAAATATTATATAAGTGTATTTTGTAACTTTGAGGCTCCATGGTTGGCTCTGAGAGAATTTAGTCTGAGGAAATATATATGATTTTCAACACAATTCCTCAACTAAGACCAGTTTCAACCCGAATCGTACTTGTTTGCTGCAAAGTCGTAGGCTTCACATGAAGCGATGAGCCCCTCCTCGTTGACCCCCCCAGCCACCAAGATCTGGTTGTTGTGGACAACGGACCCGAACATGGCTCTGGGGGTCGTCATGGACGCCATCTCCCTCCACTCTGCCTGCTTGTGGTTGTACACAAACACCTTGCTCAGGGCTTTGCTGTGGAGAAAAAGTAGGAAATAAGGTTTATTTCGAATGCATTCTTTGTTAATGTGATTTTATTTCACCTTTTTTCTGAATATGTGTATGTTGTACCAGCTTGAGAGAATTTGGTTTTCATAAAAGGATAAAATACCAAAACTATTTAATCATAATTTCGTAGTAAGAAATAAAGTGCCCTTTGCTGTAGAAAGATTAAGGGTGGTCTTTTTTGGAATGCCCCAAATTATGTAAATTTGGAAAAGTTCAAGATTGAAATGAAAACTGGAGCAAACAACCTCAGACAGGATATGGTTGTTCATCTTTATAATTACTTCTATGCTTGCTTTTTCCTGCTGATGGGAGTTTATGAATGTATTTACTTTATATGTTGGTATATTTAAGTGTCTAACTATGTATATTTGGAGTTTCTTTTAATTAAGGTGTTTTCTTCAGACATGCACACTAGCTTATTATTAGATACAGTGTTAAATACTTTGCTGTTCATGTATCACTGCTGAGCGTAATGGAAACAGCTAAGATTACAGACATGTTGTGTTCAGTGGTTCTGCAGAGCCTTTAATATCACTGCATTAATCAACAACAGGATCATTATTTTCTATTATGGTAATATTTCACATAGATTACACTGTAGCAGGCTAATTGCTGTCTATGAATGAAGTGCCATGCAGCCCTGCAGTCTGGCAGTATGATGAACCACAAACAGCTGCGGCTCACAGAGTAAGGTCACATGCACAGACACACACACACAGACACACACACACACATATATACACTCACTTGTCGTCAGTCTTTCCACCAATGCAGTAGACCAGTCCTTTGTGGGAGATGACAGCATGGCCGTGGATCTTCAGAGGAAGCTTTTTGGTCTCACTCCACTTCATCTTCCTGAAAAATTCATATTTAAAGTTACACTTTTACAATTTAGTTGTGCATTGATATTATGCTGCTCGTAATACGAAATGCTTAATTGTTACATGGGTGTTTTTAACATAGCCAAATCAATCTATTTTTGTGATAAAGATTAAAAGTTCCAAAAATTGTTAAACTTCAAGAAAAAAAAGCGCTAAGATTATTGAAGGAACCAATTAAGCAGGTGAGATCACAACAAAACACGATTTAAAAATAAATTAACACCATATATATATATATTTTATATTTTTAAAGGAAGCAATATTGTCAACTTTCCTGAAGTTAATTATCACCTTGAAACTCAACAAAGTGAAAGGCAGGGTGACAAATAGAGAAAAAAATCAAACAATGCTTCAGAACTAACTCAATATCGAAGCACATGACAGTGTCCAGCGACTCGTTGCTCTGGAGGTCTTTTCCTGCCACGGCGAACAGCAGGTTGTCGCTCTCTCCGATGTTGAAGAGGCATCTTGGAGAAGGCATGGGTGGCAGGGCGACCCATTCAGAGATGAGGGGATCCAACTGTGGAAATACATTAAAATGACCTCTTAGCACCCATTGTCTGTGTCTACATGTCCTGGTGAAGACAGGAATGGATCATCATACTGTAGTGTATCGAATATGCTTTCAACTGTATGTATTAAAGCCTTTAACAAACCTTTAAGTATCTGTGTCAGTTAGGCCTGATAAGCAACAAGATACATCTATTGTTTTCAGAAGATGTAACTATCCCAGTCATTCTAAGGGTCATTTAAAAGGCAAAGCCGTTTTAGATGGTTAAGTAGGACTGTTTGTGAGTTTTTTCGTGAAAACTCACAATCTTCTAAGAAACTACAAACTGTGTTTTATCAAGATTAGTTGGACATGGTAATTTAAGAATTAGATTTCTTGCCAAGAGTTTGAAGAGAATATTTATACCACCATCATGTCTTTACAATAAATAGTAAATATAGCCAGCAGGTGGTTAGCTTAGATTAGCTCAAAGACTGGTGGCAGGAGGAAATAGCTAGCCCTACTCTAAATAAAGTTAAACACAATTATTTCGTAGAGCAGACTTACAGTTGTAGCTTATTAATTTATTTTTATCCTGATTATATATCTGTTTGATAAATAAAAAATGTAAAACTGACTGAGCCATGACATGCTAGCTGTTGCTCTCTGCTACCAGCACTTTTGGTTAGCTAAGCAAGCGGTCTACAAGCTTCATATTATTGTAACTCCTAGATAAGACAGTAGTGTGTTCCCATCTGAAAGAAAGTGAATACGAATATTTCCAAAAGTGTCAAAATATTTCCTAATTCTTTTTAGTATCACATGAAAGAAAAGCCTGGTTACCAGGAAAAAGTAACATTGGAGGGGTAGATCTTTGTTTTCCTCATCCACAAACACTCCTCCAATGACGTAGAGCTGGTTCTTCTGTGACGCCAGGCTGACGTGGTTACGTGGCACCTGCTCCGACATGGCCGCCAGGAAGCACTCGTTCTCGTTGACATCATACGCCACCGATGCGGTATCATTAATCATGACGATGAATTCGCGTCCGTACATGCCTTGTCTTCGGTTGTCATTCAGGAAACCTGGGAAGGGGCTTTCCTCCTCCTCTCCTTCCACGCCAGCACCTTCCTCCCCCTCCTTCTTCGTGGGTGTCTCTGGAAGTTTTCCCTTGAAGGCATCGCTGATGACCTGGAGCGTCTTCTGGAGCTCCGGGTCCGCCTTGATGATATCATCGGACTCTACTTTGTCTTGGAAGTACTTCTCCGGTAGCAGGCGGAAGCGGATGCAGTTGAAAGCATCCTTCAGGACCTTGACTCGCTCTTTGTCATAACGTACCCATGCCATGACCGCCTCAAACACCAGCTCCTCCTTCGCCACATTTAATGAGTCTCCACCGATGACTGCGAACAGTTCGTGGGCCGCAAGCTTGAGGAACTCATCTTTGTTGTAAAGGAGTTCGAAACGGTCTGCGACGTAGTTGCGTGCGGCCACAGCGAGTCTCGGACAGCTGATCACCAGGCCCATCCTGAAGATCGCCAAGCAGTTTCCCAGAGACAACTTCTTGAGAAGGTAGTTTACACAGACTGTAAAGACAGAAGGGATCTGGAATCTGTTGGCCACAGCAATTATATCCTGGACATTGTCATCGGTGAGGTCAATCTCGGCTGAGTAGAGGTACTGAATGACCATATCCAGGATGGAAGGATTGACTTCCTCCAGGACCACCTCCTTGGTGTTTTCCACCTCTTTCCCATCCTCTGTGAAGAAGATATCCCTGAAGTACGGGCTGCAGGCGGCCATGATGAGCCGATGGCAGGGGAAGCTTCTGTCGCCTACCTTCAGGGTGCAGTCCACAAACTTGTTCTCGTTAAGCAGCTCCTTCAGCCCATCCTGAAGCAGGGTGCTCTGAAACAGGCGCAGCTCTTCCTTGATGGCGTTGGGGTCCATGGTGTGTCACTGGGGGGTCTGTGGAGAGAGGAAGGAGACGGCGGCCACAGGTCCTTTTGGCAGTCGGTCCTGGCTGGAAAAGGGAGAGCAGAGAAAAGGGTCCCCGAGTGAAGACCCTGCAATTCAATCCCGTCCCCCTCTAAATATAGCTCCCTCTGCCCCCTGCCTCCTTCAGCTTTAGTGGAATCTGACTGGGCCAAGTCACGGCACACTACAGGCCTCGGCTCGAGCAGCTGCTGTCACAGACTGAAAGAAGCAACTGGCTGCTCAGGCTGGGGATCTGCCATCATGATTCAGCTCCCAAAGTGTCATATGGCCGACTAACAGTAGAAACAATGCTGTCAAAACCCTTGAATAGCTCGCCACAAGCTGCACATATGACCGAGAGGTGGTTTAGAGCAGACGCTGTCACTTTCAAAAATATATGAATGAGATCATCCTTTCATTTAAATCCGATTTTCATTCATTCATTTATTTACTTCCTTTATTCAGTCTGAAACAGCCAAACAACTGATTTAGTCTTTACTTTGCAATTCATATATCGGGACTAAGCAACCGAGACAGATAGTATCCATCATTACGTCCCTATTACTGTCACTGATACAATTACAACCATTCCTTTTATTAAGTACTTTACTTAGCCTAATTTATCATCTTGTTATATCAACCAACATTTAATATGTCCCAAACTTTCCATTTACAGTCATAAAAAAGAAAAGCAGCAGATACCACATTTGAATCAGCAAATTGGGTATTTTTCTTTAAAGGCCGAAGCGTGATCTAAATGGTTGCTAAAGGATGTGTTTTTCGACACTTAAAGTCCACAAATCATCTAATTTTTAAAGTCAAGTTGAAATGTTTGCTTTTACCTCTATAATATCTTCTAGCACTTCACAGTTTGTTCCTTCGCTGAATCATTTGCTACATTTCAAATTTACAAGTCAAAACAAAATCCACTCTCGTTTTTTCTTATCTTTTCACAGCATGGCATTATTTAAGTGAGATTGAAGAGCACACAAACATTGTGCTAAAAATGGACCAGTAAAGTGTGTGTGTAGCAGCTGACAAAAACAGGTGAGAGCCACACACACACACACACACACACACACACACACACACACACACACACACACACACACACACACACACACACACACACACGCACACACACACACACACACACACACACACACACACACACACACACACACACACACACACACACACACACCACACACACACACACACACACACACACACACACACACACACACACACACACACACACACACACACACACACACACACACACACACACACACACACACACACACACACACACACACACACACACACACACACACACACACACACTTCTGTCCACCAATCAGCATGAATCTTCCTTTTCCCTGTGGGGATTCCAGCTGTGTGGTTGGTTGTGTGTGTGTGTACCTCAATCAGTAATGTGAGTGCTGAAAATATTTACTATTAAAAATAAATGGTGTCAATTTGCTTACAGACAAAAGGCAATCACTGATGTGTCTGGATCAATAGGATCTTCTATTGTTGAGTCTTGTTTCTGTGGCCTGATAAAGTGTGAGGAGTGTGTAGAGTTAGGTAACATTTCTCCCGTGGGCAGCACTAAAGATAGATCAGACTACGCCACTTGTCAAGGAGTGTCTAACGGGTAATTTAAGCAGAAGGGGAGAGCAGATTGTCTGATGGGTAAAGAAACGTTTTCTATTGATTTTTGTAAAATATTTAGGGACTGTATGTAAATGATCGGGGTGAACCCTATGTTGCTGATGAAGACATATTTCACCTCTTTGCTGTCAAATTCATTGGGTCCACCATTATCTATTTGTTCTACTGCATTAATCTAAACCTTTCTGCATAGAATATATGCTGTTAGTGTTGGATTCATTGTAAAATGGCTGTGATTTAATGCGATTTACTGCATTGGTGTAATGTAATGTTTCATTATAGCTGGGTAAACAATGATTTTCCGTCCTTGGTTGGACATTTAAGATGAATACGATAATGGTAAGATCTCATTCCAAACACTCCAATTTAGTTTAATCGGATTAATAATATACTTACATTCAGGGTCTTGGTTGGTTACAATTTGGCTGATCGTCAAATTGTCCATGAACTGAAAATGCATGCACAGAACTGATCGGATTATAAAAATATCAAACATTGAACAGCCACAATCAACATGTCTCGTATCAATAAACACAACAGTAAAACCATTGGAATACACTTGGATCATAATACAGTCTTACTTTTTATATAGCTGTTATCATGTTAAATGTATTTCAAATAATTGTCATACGGTCCCTTAATATGAATGAGCTTTTGCACATACTGTATTAGTTTGGATCAGATTTATTTAGAATGTTTGACATCAAATGTTGAACATGTAACAGTACAATATGGATGTACACAGTACAGATGGGTATTATAGTGACACACCAACCATGGAAGTGCAGTCATAGTATGTTGTACTGTGGTAACACTTCAGTGACATGAGCATGTGTTACCCAGTAGAGGGCAGTGTGTATGTGTGTGTCCGTCGATCAGTTTACTGCTTTAACAAATATAAGCAGTAATAAGTAAAAAAACATTTTAAAAAATCACATTTTAATTCAACAAACAAAACACATTCAAATGCACAGTTATTCCATGAAGTTACAGAGCACCAGTCAATTATATAAAAGGACAACATACATGTTATTGATATAAGTAATGAGAGGCTTCATTTGTGTGTTATTGGCTCTTGCGGTTATGCACTAAAAAGGACCTACATTTTTTGGAGTAAAGAAATGAACGGCTACACTACACTATTGTGGCACATTGATTTCTGGTACCAGAGGATTTACTGGTCAGTCATTTTTTTCACAATCTTTGCAGCACTCACAAACATGATCATGTCCGAGAGGTGTGGGGATCCCTGGAAATAGAACACACAGTGAAGCTCATCTGTATTCCTGAGTAGGAGCGCTGGACTATCTCCTGCGTTAGATGCTGAGATAAAAAACAACGGAGGTATCTGTCAAAATGGGATCTCTTTCACTATAATTACAGGAAGATGATTTTACAATGAGTTAAACAGGAAGAGGCCCACAGACTTAATTGTAACAGGGATATAGAACATCAGTGTAAATGTAAATGCCGGAGGATTATGCAGAAACTACACAACCCTATGAAAAATAGCTGGTGTTAGCTGCCTCTCCTACAGCAGATGTTTGGCAGATGCCTTCACTCAACATCCTCAAAAAAAACATAAAAGTCAGTACTTTTGAACCAATACCATTCTTATGTCCTCATCTCTGTATGACAGGCTAGGTGTGCGTTAACATTGAAGGGATGAGTCACCAGATATCAGGCGATGATCACACACGTCCTCTTGCACTCGTCCTCCGTGTCAAAGCGGTTCTTGTTGCCGTTGCAGCCCCCGTACCAGAACTGTGCGCAGGCGTTGGCCTGCTTGTCGTAGTACCAGCGGATGTTGTAGTCTCGACACGTGCCCTGGTCCAGAACCAGGCCGCAGCGAGGGTCCAGCGGCACTCTCTCTGCAGGAAGACGAGCAGAGTCTAGCAAATCATTCTCACTGCATCAAAAATAATTGGCCTCTCTGCTCCTCACCTGTAGACCTCATTACTGAGTGTCAATCAGAAAGCACTTATCATAACCGCAGAGTCCCCTGCTACCACATGCATCATGGGCAGATTAGGCACAGACATGCCCCCCCCCCTCTCACCTACATACAGTAGGAGCCACACCCACACACACACACACACACACACTATTGTACTTTAAACATTCATATTTCTTGTCTCGAGTATTTTTCTCACAGTGGTTTTCTTCCCAGGGGCCGTCGGTAGACAATAACCTTACAGTTTGAGGTTCATAAAACGAGCTCATAAATCTGAACATATTAAAACACACCGCCGTTGGGCAGAGAAAGAACGCCCATCGCACAAACGGCTTTTCCATTAGTCATCGTGCGTTTCTGTAGTAATGTATGATTTATCAGGGAGTAACTGAAAAGTGTCCATATGACACCGATAACAATAAAGCAGAAATTCCTAATGTATTTTATAGATGCACTTACTAATACTGTTACTGTTGAATTACCTGTTGAAATCTTCCAGAAGACTGTCAATCACGTTTTATAATTGTAAAGAATTAAGTTATTTAATTGACCCAGAACTCATGGTCAATGATTCCTTATGCTTCGTGCAAAAGATGAGCTTACCTGAAGTCTGGGTGTTAGTCATATCTCAGTCTCTGTGTCAGGAGGAGCATGTTGAACGGCAGCTCAAAGTTATCTGAACCAATGATTCAGAGGAACGCCAAAGACAATCTCTCCTCACTTGGAAATTAGTTCCAGCTCTCTGATTTTCCAGTTGACTGTATCACGAACAGCCAGGAAAAGAACATCATGAGTATATTGGAAGGATAGCCAATGTGGTTTTTTAGTCTAGTTGAACCTTTGAAATGCAGTAGGGATAGGGGTTTGAATTCAACCACAAGTGCAGTTTATATTCAATCATTAAAATGTTTGTCTCAGGAATGATGCAGTTAAAAACACTCATGTGCACGCTATGATTATAACACATCGCTTGTTTGATTATAATTATAAAGCTAAAGGAATGATTTATTGTATTCCTGCTGCCTGAGGAGTCAACAACAGGAAGTTTCTTCACTCCTTTTCATTTGTTGCTACTGTTATTCTGTAATTACAAATAATTGTTTTGGACGAGCGCTCTCTTTTGTGCACAGGTATGTTAGTGTGTCATGTCTCTGCGTGCACTGGCTGTGCGAGAGAATGATGGAAAAGCATCTGTACCTTTGGGAAGCGCTGGCTTTACGCGCTCTATGGACACACCCGAGGATGATATGGTTGTTCTTGAGGAAGAAGATGATGAAGATGAGGAGGAGGAGCCTCTCGTACTGGAGGATTCCTCTTCCTCTGAGGTGTTGCGGTTAAATGTGTCCCCACGCTCGTTTCCAGTCAACACATACTGACTTCCTCCTCCCTGAGAGGGACAAAACCGTTGTTAACAGCTTCATAATGTTAATTACATATAATTATAAATGTATGTTCCTTACATGTCCTGTGCTGGATCCTTTGCTGGACCCTGTGTTGGACCCTGTGCTGGACCCTGTGCTGGACCCTGTGTTGGACCCTGTGCTGGACCCTGTGCTGGACCCTGTGTTGGACCCTGTGCTGGACCCTGTGCTGGACCCTGTGCTGGACCCTGTGCTGGACCCTGTGCTGGACCCTGTGCTGGACCCTGAGCTGCCCTGCTGTTTGGAGTCTACCTGGACCCCTGTGTTGGTGCCAGTGTTACGGCCGCTCTGAACCTGCTGCTCAGTGGAAGGCCTGAAGGGATATCCTCCAATGGCGTACTTCCCGTTGTTTCCGTTCCCGTATCCGTTGTTCCCATGGCCGTTGTAGCCATTTGTTATTCTGTTATATATCAGGGCTCCATTCTCATCCTCACAGAACTGGCTGACCAACTTGGATTCCAGCGCTAAGACAAAGACAGAGAGAGAGGAGAGGTCAGAGATACAGGAAGTGTTGTCTCGACAGATTCTACACCTATTGGGATATACTGTAATAGCAGCATGGTTCTGGGGAGGGATCTGTTGGTAAGTCCACCATTTAAGTCCAGATCAAAATATCTCAACAGCTATTGGATGGATTGCCAGTTTAATAATTTAAACTATCTTAAGCATTTGGGTACTGGCATTTTTAAATACCATTGAATGTATTAAGCTCATATCCCTCAAAAAACGAGGAATATAACACTGACACACCGACAAAGACACATTTCTCTAACCTGGCAAAGTGTTGAAGTCGTCGATGAGGAACATGTGCTCGGTGTCGGGGTCCGAGGCGATCAGATTGAGCTCTCTCATGAATTCGGCCTGTGTTGGGTCTGAGGTGTTCACAATCCCCAGAGCGAACATCTCGATATTGGCGGCGTGAGCTTCTCGTACGGCCAGATCCAGCTTCACCGGCTCCCGCTTGTCCGTCTGCCCGTCAGTGATCACGATGGCCACTTTGCTGACCCCCACACGGGAGCTGTAGAACGCGTCCTGGGTGGCTTTACGGATGGCTGTCCCGGTGTAAGTGCCCTCTCCCATGTACGGGATGTTCCTGATGGCCTGCTTGATGTCCTGCTTGGTGGTGTAGCGCGCCAGGTTGAACACCAGCTTCACCTCCAGGCTGTACAGCACCAGGCCGATCCTGGTGGCGTTGCGTCCCACCGTGACGCGGTCCACCAGCGCCGCCACAAAGTCCTTGATGATCTCAAAGTTATCCGGGCCCACGCTCTCTGAGCTGTCAATGACAAACACCAGCTCCATGGGCCTCTCCTTACACTTGATCCCACATCCTGGAAGCACATCAACATATGAGATCATGGAGGAAGAGTTTACGCTGTGGAATCGGAGCTAATGATTTACAGATAAGATCAAACAGTGGCTTAGATTCAGAAATGACTTTACCACAGATCTCTTTGATCATCCGAATGATGTCGTCCCTCTGAAACAAATACACCAATGCAGTTTGAGTGTAGGAATAAAAATAAACTGAAACTCAATGTTCGACCGAGTCATTCACCCTTTACTTTTGTAAGAATAGCAATATTATTAACACTTAATACTTCAGTTTACCATAAAAATCTAATTTGAACACGCAATGTTTTCAGTTGAAAGAAAGCGTATGACAAAAATTAATCTAATCTAACTAACACTGTCACAAAAACTACAATACTCCCAAAGAGGCGTAAACGTACTAACATTATGTTACTGGAGAAAGCATAGAAAAAATAGAGACTCACAGTGAGGCCGGCTTCACCTTTGACACCAGAGTGGCCCTGAGAGGAGACAAAAAGTAGTTATAATACTCTCACATTTGTTTCCACACATTTTAAATTCCATTTACGAGACAAAAGGCTAAGAGCATACTTATCTCAAAGCAATCAGAGTAAATGGACATATTGATGATATTGAGGGTCACTCACAGGCTGCCCTGCGTTTCCAGGGTCTCCCAGCTCTCCTTTGATTCCCTTCAGCCCCCTCTCCCCTCCAGATCCACGGTCACCCTGTCACACATTAGAAAGCATAATATCAGCAGTCAGAACATATAAGTGCATAGAAACCCACAGCAGTGCTCCTGGACCACATGGTGACTCACTTTAGCTCCAGGAAAGCCTTCTCCAGGCAGCCCCCTCGGGCCCGTCACACCCTGGGACCCCAGCTCCCCCTGAAACAAACACATGAGTTACCTTCTCTGTGTGCATGGTAGTTAGAGACCTCTCAGATTAACATTAGAAATACACTGATTTCTATTTGTAAGGATAAACAATAGCTTACCTTTGGTCCCTGAACTCCTTGTCCTTGTGGCCCTGTCGGCCCTGAGGGGCCAGGCCGCCCAGCGTTACCCTGCAGTACAGAGGATACATTCAGGGTCATATTGGAATGGACTTCATTCAATTTTCCTTATTTTATACAATTTCCATTAACATTCGACCACATATACCCCATTTGTATTAGGCTCTATTGACCTCTGTGTCTGAAAAGCTTGGTTAGGCAACATATTCTTTCAAAAATACCCCCAGCTTTCTATGAGAGAATGACCCTGCATGTCACCTAATGTATTGCCTCAGTACACATTTACCTAAAGAGTAAATTGTCTCAACAGCTAGTTTCACTATAGGTATAACAAACATTTGAACTTAGGTTTTTAATCTGTCGTCAAATGACATTTGAGCTTGCTATAGTTGCATGCAGGCAACAGTCCAGTTTTTGCTGTTTTGTAATAAAAAGGCACATTTTCTTTCTTTATAAATACAACTTGAACTTGTTAGAGTGTGTTAGAGGCCACACCAGCGATATATCACACATGTGTAACCACTAATTCCTCTTTCTTGAACAAATGTAGAACTCATTTGTGTGTTGTTCTGATTTCCCAGATTTCAGCTGACTAGGCCTGCTTCTCATAACACACACATGTCTGTGGAGATTCACGCTCTGCATTAATATGTGCTGCGGGAGAATCATGATAAATGCCATGAACAAATGAACTGTCAGCTGTAGAATATATAAGACCCCTGTGTGTTGGCCTTGACTCACTTTAGCAGAAACAGAATACAAACAGTATTTTATGAGTTTTAAAAGGTGGATGTAAAGTTGAAATGGAAATAATTTTAATTAAAAAAACTGTCAAATCTGAAAAGTAGAAATTGCTGCGGTACCGGAGGTCCTTGGAGGCCCTCGCCCAGAGGTCCTGACAAACCTGGCAACCCTCGGTAACCGACATCCCCCTGCAGGAGAGAAAACACAGTGAAGATATGTGTAACACTTACAACACAGCAATTTAAAATCCATCAACAAATTAACTCCTGTGCTGTGTGAAATATTTCCCTTTAATTAGTTTTCTCAAACAAATGACCACATCCTTCACTGGGATGATACTTTCACTCAAAGAATGTTCAAATGTATCTTTGGCAATTGCTTTTCACTGCAGAGGTTCATTTTGCCAAAGTATTAGCACAATATATTACACTGTGTATTGTCCTCCTAAAGAACCATTTGTTTTATAAAGGCTAATACATCACACTTTCCCATTAGTCCAAAACTTGCACTAACTTTACAAAAATCATTTTATCTCACCTTCGGTCCAGGGATTCCCACTCCTTCCTGTCCGGGTTCTCCTGTGAGTCCAGGCAGACCAGGAGGGCCCTATAACATGGAGGTAGAATACAATCTTAAAACAGGCTTACATTCAAAATGCGAAATTTAAAGATTACTTTGAAGTTTTAGCATTTCCACGGACACCTTGAGAGATGGTGAAATTATTAAAGGAATAGTAATTTTGATAGGAAACTTGCATAGATTACGCAGGGGTTCCCAACCTTTTTTCCCAAGAGCCCCCCCAAATGACTCCTGTTGGAAGTTGCGGCCCCCCCCCACCAGTTGTGGGTGTAACGCGTTACAAAAGTAACGGAGTTACAGTAATATATTACTTTTTGCTGTAACGAAGTAATGTAACGCATTACTAATGAAATGTGGGTAATATATTACCCGTTACAATGCTCAGTAACGCAGTTACAACACATTTTAACCCGAAATGAAATGGTGTTTTGTTTTTTAACAATGTAGGACTAACATAGCGAGACATTCCGACACCAGACAAATTGTGCGGGTAGATTAGTAAACCTGGTGTGTTTAACCTTCAGGCTTCGCGTCGGGATCTTCGGGGCAGTTGAATGTTATGCACCCTCTATTCAAAAAAGAGAACGGAGCGAAAAACACAAACAACAAATTGTGTCTGGTGCGCGTGACCTGCTCCGCTGCGCGTGCATCATTTCCAAAGTGCTACCACAGCAGTGACACACCTCTGTGGATAATCATTTATACGAAAATGGTTAAAGCAACCATCACTAAACGCCAGCAACACTGCATCTACTGCAGACCGTAGCAACAGGCCAGATGGGGACATCACGTTACCCTCCGTTGTGGACACTACTCCCGCCTGACTCGCCGCCCTCGCCCCCGGAGCAGCAGTCTTCGTTGCCCGAAACTACGCAGCCCCTCTGCGGCCCGCAGGTGCCAGCCAGGATACCACGGCAAAACAGAGCCTGCCCAGGTATATCCAGTACTCGAGTTGAGGGGGGATGAGGGGGGATGGCATCCCCCCTGAAATAAAAACGGTCAAAATCATCCCCCTTCTAAAACTGCCATTCCCCCTTTCCATCCCTTTATGTAATTGTATCAATGAACGTGGCACTGGTATTACTGCTATTTCAACATTAATTTTGCGCATTTTGAGTAAAATACTGTGGGCGAGTGAGCACGCACACACGCAATGACATTTTTACCAAGTCACTGACGCTATAGGCTACTATGCGAGTGCCCTAGAGGGCGCCAGAGCGCCGTGATGCGCCTGTTTGATCGATGCCAGAAGCTGCATTGATTGATTGATTGAAAAGTGTATTAACAGCTTGTATATTGGGTACAGTACAGTACAGCTCAAAACATACAATTGTTAAGGGGATGCAGACCAGAGAAAGACTTTCGTCTTGTTTACATCAGGGTCCCCCATTTCCAATTCATCATATCATTTAAGACATATAAGACATATAAGACATATAAGACATACAGATGGCTTATTTACAATTTACATACAGGTGGTTTTTTACATACAGATTGCTTATTTACAATTTTCATTTTAGATTTCGTTCTAATACATCCTAACCGGACATTTAAGACATACCAAGTCTACAGATATACAGTTAGTAACAGAGTCTAAAATGCGAGTATATACATAGATGGGGGGGGGGGAAGCTGTCCATTGAACGACAGGTTGAGATTTGTACCATTACCGGGGCCAGTTTTGCAATGCTCTCCCCCGAAGGTGCTCTTTAAGAGAGGTTTTGAAGGTAAGTATAGTTTTACTTTCCTTTACAGTTGTGTGAAGAGCGTTCCACCTTGATGTGGCATAATTGCGAAACGTGTATTCCCCCTTTTTTGTGCCAAATCTGGGTTTCACATGATTTGTGGAGCTCCCTCTGGTGTTATGATCATGGTATTCCTTGACCTTTGGGAAGAATTTTGACATGTACATGGGTACCATAGAGGTGTAGTGGATCTTGTAGACCAGGCCCATTGCAAGTAGCTGTACTCTGTAGCAGCACTAGCGCAGGTAACGGTCATCACAATGGCCAAGCGACCAGGAGGACAACGCGATCTGAGGGACTTCATATTTAAAAATACTAAAAATAACATTTCAGGTAAGTCAAGAGTCAGTAATCTTAGTCATTACTCATTACTTTAGTCACCAAAGGTGGAATCTATGGACATAAGCAGCATTAACAACTTAGTTTGGAGTTTAGCTACGTTTTTCTCTCGTGTTAGCTAGCTGGTAAGACTCAAAACTGTTGATGAAATGATACCACCAGCACCAGAAGAGCTGAAACCCCTCCTTCAAGCAGTGAACACTTTGGTCATCTCCACAGCTGAGTGTGAACGTGGGTTTAGTCAGATGAACATTTTAACCACAACTAGAAGCTCCCTAGAGGTAAAAAGCATGTCAGCCTTGCTTTTCATCAAGTGTGTTGGCCCTCCACTGAACAAGTTCAGAACTTCAGACCAGATGTATATGTCAAGACTTGGCTTCAAAGCCATTGCTTAGCTAACAATCCGAAAGCAAGAGCCAGAAAAATTGAGACCAAAAAGCATGATTATGAAAATCTTTGGAAACTTCTATGAGATGGGGGAGAGTGGAGTAGGCAGCCATTGACAACATTGGTCCTATTTTGTATTATCTGTATCTTTTAATATATCTTCATATGTTGTAAACAATTTCAATTTGGACTTAATGCCCTGTTAAAAAAAGTAACATTGGGAATGTTAACATAAAATATTTGTGAACTGCAATAAAATGATGACGGATCAATTTTTTTCAAATTTTGTTCCTCAAATTGTTCATGAAGTGTTTAATTTACATAATGATTTAATTAATTACGATACAAATGTAACCCTTTAGATACCAGTTTTGATCGTATACCAGTAACTGCTTTTTTGAAAAAATACACTATAATTCAATATTCTAAAAACTATTTTGACTTTATTATTAGTATAATCAGTTGGTCCATCTGAATAATACATGAGGGACTGTTAACCTACAAGATTTGTACCATAGACTTCCATTATAACCACATTTGTGTATCCCCTCCCCCCCTTTCAATTAAAGTGAAAAAAAGATTTTGCACTAATTGTCCTCTGCATTTGACCCTAAATGTTAGTGGTGTCATGGCAGCCCAGGGACCGACTCTAATTCTGAGGTGCCTTGGTCAAGAGCAATGACAGGAGTATCTGAACATCCATAACATGCATGTTGTTTTAGGAGTATAATAATTATCTTTATGCTGGTTGGTCTCCCACCCTCGGCGGGTTATCAGCACAAATTATGTCCCCATAAAATCCACCATCCCCCCTGATTTTTTTTTACAACTTGAGTACTGGGTATATCTAAACAAGTACCCGCCTGTACAGTGGGGTAAGGTGGTCATTTTGCAGCTCGTGGTATAAAAATAGACACGGGCTAGAATATTCATGTGAAAATAGTGCCATATTCTGCCATGCCTGTAGAAATGTTGGGTCAAAAATAATGCATACAATAGCACAGATGCCTTCACCACAAATGGCTACAAAAGATCTCATATCCCAAGCTTATCAACGAGCTGATGTTGCAGCTGAAATGTTCTCCAGGTCACAAAGTCAACCTCACATGATGGACAGTAAATGTTCTCTTCCCAGAGTATATGATGGGACCAAAGTGATGATTTAGTAGGCTACATGGTTTTAATAATACTTTTGCTTTTCAATGTTTGCCAGTTCAAATAATATTTGCCTTGATTTACAATATGTTCTCATTTGTTTTATCAGTACAGTTTTGAAGCTGTTGTGCTTTTCTTTGCCACAGTCCACTTTGGACTATATGAGATATTTCAGGATTGCACTTTTAACTTGAAATGTTCTCACTTGCTTGGTTTCAAAACATAACAAATGCCATAATCTGTTCATTGGGGACCATCAATGCTATTTTTCATTGCTGTTGCCGGCCACTATTGCTCATGTAAACCTACTACTGCTGCGCCCCCTGTAACCTCAGAGGCACCCTGAGTCATTTAGTTCTGGAACCGGGCCTGTACACGGCCTTATACTAAACACACTACAGAGCCCATTCCGTGTCCTGTTATTATTCACTTCCTCTCTGCCTTCTTCTGGTGATTTACCTGACGTCCAGCGCTCCGTCTTTTAACCTCTTTTCCTTTCTCTTTCTTTCCTTAGCAACCTTCATTATAGTCCTTGACAGTGGTTCAACTGTATTAACAACGTGTCACATGTTAAGAAGTTACAATCAGAATCAAGTATTCAACTAAGCCGTGTAATACAAGTTGTCAGTAGCCTTAAGGGCCTACACAGTTGTTATGCTATACCACATCGCCCTTCACTGGATGTATAATGAGCTGCACTAAACCACATTTTAGCATTTAAAACACCTAGCCATTCTTTTGCGGTTATTTTGGTGAAAGTAACTCAAAAGTAACTAAAGTAGTGTAACTCATTACATTTCAGAGACAGTAATTTTGTAATGTAACTTATTACTTTCAAAAGAGAGTAATAAGTAATATATTACATTTTGGAAGTAACTTGCCCAACACTGCCCCCCACACACACAAGGGGGGGGGGGGCGCAACAGCGGTAATTAAAGTTTAAAAGTCTCAAAAATGCTACAACTACTGTCACAAACGGGATGAATGTGAAGTATTTTGTTAAAGGAGGATGAAAGCGTAATTAAGGAGCACTATTGGAGTGACTTTGATGGTTATTGGACTCAGGATTAATTAATTTGGATTCCCGCTCTATGAAGAAATTAAAGGACGGCGCAAGTGGAAACAATTCACAAAACTGTTTAAAACACATGCTCAAAGTAGTTTATGTGGATTCAAAAGTCGTAAATAATCTACAAAATGGAGGAGACCGATCTGATCGGAGCAACTGACAAATAATCCAACTGAAACCGGCATGGACAATGACTATGTTTAAAAATGCGCTTATCCAGAAAAGCCTGGTTTGGACACTTTACGGGCAGAAGAAACATTTCTATTAAAGAAAGAATTATACATTTCTGTCTTTTTATGCCTATATTAGCTACTAACTTGAATTTGTATTCAAATTAATTAATCAATTTTTTATATTTTATTGTAATGTAGAGACAAGGCTTTTAGTGACAATCATGTATTGTGTTACAATTATATGTAAAAAAAAAAAAAAAAGTCTAAATATGATATTTGGCCTTAAATAATCTGAGGCCTGGCTCCCCCCCTGCGATCTTTGGCGTCCCCCTCAAGGGGGGCGCGCCCCCCAGGTTGGGAACCACTGGACTACGGGACGTTCCAGGCAAGTAATAATTAAGTGTCAAATTGCGTAAACCATAAACATTTCAGTTTGTGTATAGATTAAAGATAAAATAGATAACTTGTGTGAGCTTTAGGCACTGATTTCGTTGCATATGGAAAGAGCACGGCCAGCTGTTTCTGCCTGTTGGAATCCGTATGCTAAGCTAAGATTCAGTTGGCTTAATTTTTGGTATCGATCTCATTGGCAATATAGTGATACATAAATATGCCTAATTCCCAAGATGTTGAAGTATCCCTTTAACTCTCTTCCCCAGTGAGTCATTCCAGTGCTTTGTATTTGCCCCAAGGGTCTGCTTTTTATGGAGAATTAAGGAGAATGTACATGAGGGTCAGCTACCGTAACTTTTGGCAATAAATGTTAATATATGTCTGGAACCGATAAGTAGATTAAGGGAGGGAAAAGACAGATGTATGGCTGACTTAATGTAATGTGACGAGTGATGGATGAACAGATTTATGAGTGGACAAATGGGAATGTCAGTGTGTGTTTCAGCTCCTCACCGAGGGGCCGGGGAAGCCCTCTCCTTTGGGGCCGAATGGACCTGAAGGGCCAAAGTCTCCACGGTCCCCCTGCAGAACAAATCATTTATTCATCCAGGATACAAAGTGATTTACAGATCCATGTTCAAAGAAGAGGAAGGAATGTGGAGGTGAATGGGCACATGTGCTATCTGCTGCTGTATAGTGAGTAAGTGTTGTGCAATACATCAAAACAGGGAAAGGTTAAATCTACAGAGTATGCTTTAACATTGAGTTCAGCACGACAGGACATCATCCCCTTTGTTCTGCCTGGATGCTGCTCAGCGATTACATTTCAATTATAATTGATCATTCCCCAGATGTGGAGTTTAGCTATGACATCATGCTTTAAGTGTTTGTGGTCATCCCATAGTAACAAACACATTGTGTTTTAGAGCAGTGTTACCTTTGGACCAGGAAGTCCGTAGCCAGTCTCACCGAGCGGACCAGGAGGACCACTCGGGCCAAATCACCCTGGAACAGACGTTACACATTATTATTGAATGAAAATACTGGATCGTTTTCTCAATTACATCATTGTATGATCTAGAGAGCTACAGTTACTGTACCTTGGCAGATTAAGATTTTACAGGAGTTTAGCAAGAGTAACACGTGATTGCTTAAGACCGAATAAGTATCACTTTGTAAACATTTAAAGTTGGTACGAGCTTTGCACTTGGTGTTTGGCCGCACTATATTTGCTTATGATGGATTTGTTTGTATCATGCACTCGCACAAGGATACACTATTACGGACAGTAACCTAAACAAAACTTAGCGAAGAAGAAAAAGAAGATCTAAAAAAAAAAAAAAGCAGGTTTACCTGGCCTCAAAGACACATATAATGCATTTGGGTGCCAAACATTTAATACACACATAAATCTATCTGTGTTTTTACAAGAAAACCACTATTAAAAATAAAAAATTGGCACGGATGGCAAGAGGTCTTTCAAATTGATTTGAAACTGCTTTAATATTTCACCTTTAAATCGCTTAAACTAGAGAGGAATGACTAATGCCAGTGTTATTTTGGTGAGGTAATGACCATCCTGGCCAAAAGAGGGAATGAGATATAAAAAGCTCCTGAAACATTTGAACTGAGTTTTAACGATCACAAATATAATCACTTAGAGGCTTCCACAGTTTCTATTGTCACTGCAGTAGGTTGTGTTACCTTTGGCCCAGAGACGAAGCGTCCTGGGGGCCCGGCTGAGCCCCCCCTGCCCTGCGCCCCTGGTTCTCCCTGATGAAGATTAATGCAAATCGTCAATTATCTTCTGCCATCATTCCTATACCCTTCCAAGAGGCCATGGACAGGGTCTCAATGCAAATATAAAAATAATGATGGCTAATGAAGCTAACAGCTCCTCACCTTTGGTCCTGAGGGCCCAGCGATGCCGGGGGGGCCGTGCAGGCCCCGGATCCCTCTCTGGCCTTGGTCGCCCTGAAACACCACATTTGGGAATACACTTACTAATATGATAGCTGTGACTGTACTTATTATATGCAGGTCAGCAAAGTCCAAGTGCAAGAAATGCAAAAATGTCACTTTTTTTTTTTTACCTTCTCACCCTGGGTGCCAATTCCAGCGGCCCCCTCTAACCCCCTGAGGCCTGTGGGGTCCGGGCGCTCCCTGAACACCACACACACACACACACACACACACACACACACACACACACACACACCACACACACACACACACAGCACACACACACACACACACACACACACACACACACACACACACACACACACACACACACACACACACATCACACACACACACACACACACACACACACACACACCACACACACACACACACACACACACACACACACACACACACACACACACACACACACACACACACACACACACACACACACACACACACACACACACACACACACACACACACACACACCAACACACGCACACACACGCACACACACGTTTTATTTTGGAGAAAAAACAGATACAGAACATACATTTCCAAGTGTGCTTCTTCATTGGTGGTTTAAAGCGATATTGGTGGGATCAATAAGGCGAAATGTGAAATGATAAGACTGGAATCATTTCCTACAGGGTCGATAATAATGTAAATTATATAATTCTCCATGGGCTACAGAGCTTCCTGCTGTTTTGAGAATATTTAATTGCATACATGTACAGGAAACAATCCATCATGCAGTGTGAAGACAAGAGGAAGAAAGTTACTTGCAAGACTTGAGGAAAATGGTTAGAAAATATCTTGTTAAAGTCGTATTCAATAATGTTATGTTATAGTGAACTTATAAGAAGACAAAGGGTTGAGAATGAATCACACTTTCTTCTGTATTGTCCTAATATACATCAAATGAATTGACTGTTAAATATGACAAAATGGTCTGGGGCTGAACGGATCATGAGAAAATTGAATATTTTGTCATTTGAATGCTTATAAGTAGGCTTCCTTTGATTCTAAAGCTTGTAATAAATGTCCCGAGGGTTTATTTCTTTGTGTTATTTGTATTTGAATTATCTTATAAAAATGAAGTTGCTACCTTGTGTCTCTTTTTCGAAATAATGTCATCCGGTTGGCGGTGGATATATTTTTGATGCATGTGACATTATAAGGAAAAAACGTGACCTACCTTCTGTCCCGGGGCTCCGTCCTCCCCTGGCAGGCCGGGCAGACCGGACAGCCCCGTAGACCCCGGCTCCCCCTGGAGAAAGAACCATGGCTGCGTGTCAGGGTGTGAACCAGAACGTTAGGATTGTAGTTGCTGTTGATGTGCGCTGTGACTCACCTTCGCTCCAGGGTCTCCAGCCCCTCTCTCACCTGGGCCGCCAACCTCGCCAGGTAACCCCTGGTCCCCCTGTGAGACAACACGGCAGTGGGTCTTATTATAGCTCCTATCTTAGGCTGAATACTACTCTTTTATGTGCAAAGGGTCTTTAATGGTGCAGATTTAGCATCCAACTGAACCACAGTGTTATCAAAGACAAACCTTGGATCCAGCAAAGCCCTCTCCTGTGGGGCCTCTGCTCCCCAATGGGCCCCTCGGTCCTTCCACACCCTGTAAGGATCAATGGATGCAGTTATACAAAAAAGCCAGATCAAATAAAAACGAACACCAAGTTATAATTGGATGGCTAAGGAACTGTGCAAATATGATGGTTATAAAAACAAAATATCTTGGTCTTCCCCTTGAAGATAGTTTAAGTGGAGCTCATTATAAACTATTTTGTATCAAACTAATGATTATTTTCATCATGGAATAATCTCCATTATTCGCTTGAATGTTCCCTCACAAATTGTGTTCCACTGAGAGTCCAAACTTTTGAGAAACATTAATAAAAATAACTTAACAATATTTGTGAATGATAATCTAAAAGGTTGTTCTTATAGACAACGTTTTTAAGCCATCAGAAAAAATATTGTGGAGTCAAATATACAGTATTTCCCTCTGAATTGTAGTCGAGAGAAAAGTAAAAGTGTCAAGAAAAAGACTCAAGTAACATAGTACCTCAAAATTGTAGCTAAGTACAGTACTTGAGTAAAGTATATACAGTTCCACTTCTGACAGCACTGAACTTGTGTTATCATATTAGGGAAACGGCCACAGCTGTTGCTCCAAAGCATGAACAGTTGTGCAACTTACGCATTACATATTTTGTAATAATGACGAACGGTAAGTCAGACTGACCTTACGAACCCTAGGCTACATTTAATTCATATTTATTTATCCCAAAATGTTTCTTCAGTCTCTAAAACAAACTAAAATGTAATTGATGAATAGCATGGCTCACACTAACTGTATAGCAGTTAAATAAAGTGGGAGTCACTTGCCTTCTCGCCCTGTATGCCAACTCCTGGGAGGCCGAGTGGCCCTGGAAGACCCGGGGGGCCGAAGTCCCCCTGCAGGGTTGGATCAGAAGGTTAACGATGACACCAGCTGGTAGTGTTGATAGTATTACCGTGCATCAAATGTCACGTTCATGATTTACAGCATGTGGAAAGCACACAGATATAAACATTCTCCACATCATGCAGTCAAATCTTTCCACACGCATACCCTGATGATATTTGCATGTCTTTTCAAGCATCACATGTAACACAGAGAAAAGCCTGTAGGCCCTTTTTGTCATTACTATACGAAAACATTGCAATCATGTGTGATGAGCTTCACCACGAGGCCTGCGGTAAAACTGTCAGCACCATCGGATGCAGATAAACATTTAAAAGACACACCTTCTTTCCGGGGTTTCACTAATAGCTTAACGTCAAATTCCAGTGACATAAGGGGAGTTATGTCACTTTAAACACATTTTAAATCTATTCATGTCATCCTAGCGACATTTGAGAGCTAACAGATAGAGAGAACACCTTTCTGTGCACAGCCGCTCTCCTCCTACACTGTCCAGGCTCTGACCCTGATTCATCACCTGTAGCATGTGACCTCATATATAACTCACTGTTATCTGCCAACTCGCAGCTTTCACCACAGCCTGACTCTGTCTTTATCTCCGTGCCCCTGTGAAGGCGTCTTATTTACAGCCACTCTGTACTCTACCTTGTCTCCTTTGAGTCCGACGCCCGGCTGTCCTCGGAGCCCCCGCGGCCCGTCCAAGCCTCGCCCGCCCTGTGAACACACAAGTTATTGCAATTTAGCTTATGAAATGGCAGGTATTATAAATAAAAACAAGGATAAAGCTAGAGCTGTACAATTACTCCAAATTCTATTTAAATCACAGTTAGTACAATATTTGTTAAAGGCTAAATAGGTGTTAATATACCATTTTCAGGCCACCACATAGCTCTGTTAGTAGAGCAGGCAGGTCATAAATAGTGTCATGCAGGGACGTGCACAGGTACGGGCTATTGTTGCCCGGGCAACGGCCCGTTTCCCCTTTTTGGCTGACCTGCCCCTCTGGAGAGAGCAAGAGGTTTTTTTGTTTTTCTGTTGTGGTCGAATCAACATGATAAGCCCACAATTAGTATTGTAGTGTCTCGCTGCGGGAAACACACCAGCTTCATTCTTCTTCTACTACTTATTTTACTTCTTCTTCTCCGTCTTCTTACATGTAATTGCCCGCAACATTTTGAATGAAGAACTCGTTTCAGTGTGAACTCATTCCACAGTATGACCACAAAAGTGTTTTAAACCAGGTAGGTCTATGTTTTTATTATTTATGTTCTATATCGCTAAGTGTGTGATTACACATGTTACGTATTATATATATATAGTATTTATTATAGGCTTCTGTATTGGTGCCGGAGTATGTGTGTGTGGGTGGGTGTTTGTGTGTGTGTTTTATCTGATCCGGATGGTTACTAATTTTTTTTCTTTATGGCGGGAACACCATGGGTGTTACAAAGTTGACTAGATCATCCAAAATTCAATGAAAGTGGTGATCAGCCATTGTATATGTTCAAATGTCTACTGTGAAGGATATCATAAATCCTTAATGCAATCGAATGTAAAACAAAAAAGTTATGATTGATGAAAGTAGTAAATCGGTCAGATTTGATCCGAAAACAACAGGGGGGTTAAGAGACTATTACATTTTGTTCTAAGACATAAAATACATCAGTAAATACCCCACTCGTGAATATCCAAAGCTTATATGTGTTTTAAAAGTGGCTAAATGATACCACTTAGCGTTGAATATTAGCCGCTGTTAGCTTGGCGGCCATAGATTGCATTATGAAGGATATTGGGAAGGCCAAAAGAAAATCTCATATTCACTTTTCTCAAATAATCTGATGCCCAGTACATATAGTTACACAACACATTATAGAAGCCAAATGTGCGTTCTGATTGATGTTTGGGTTTAAATTCCTCCTTGTGTTGACGTCTTCATGTCAAGCTTCGGCTGCGGTTGATGGACAGCCCTGTTTACAGACTCAGTATCACACGGACACATTTCCCTGTCAGACGCTTCTGGCACGCAGTGTGAGTAAATGTTTCTGCACACTGCGACCACAGAAAGCAACACAAAGCCCTTCAAAGCCTCTGTGAGTTATTACAAGCCTCACATCTGACTTCAGAGACCCCTTTACCCCCAAAATTGGTTTTTTTCTTGTTGGTTGACTGCAGTGTTGTGTGTAACGGAGTTACAGTAATATATTACATTACTTCGTTACAGCAAAAAGTAACGCATTACTAATGAAATGTGGGTAATATATTACCCGTTACAATGCTCAGTAACGCAGTTACAACACATTTTAACCCGAAATGAAATGGTGTTTTGTTTTTTAAGAATGTACATTCCGACACCAGACAAATTGTGCGGGTAGATTAGTAAACCTGGTGTGTTTACCCTTCAGGCTTCGTGTCGGGATCTTCGGAGCAGTTGAATGTTATGCACCCTCTATTCAAAAAAGAGAACGGAGCGAAAAATACAAACATCAAATTGTGTCAGGTGCGCGTGACCTGCTCCGCTGCGCGTGCATCATTTCCAAAGTGCTTCCACAGCAGTGACACACCTCTGTGGATAATCATTTATACGAAAATGGTTAAAGCAACCATCACTAAACGCCAGCAACACTGCATCTACTGCAGACCGTAGCAACAGGCCAGATGGGGACATCACGTTACCCTCCGTTGTGGACAGGGCCGGCCCTCGGCATAGGCAGTATAGGTGAATGCTAAGGGCGCATCAACCCATAGGGGGTGCCAAAAATTGAAAAAAAGAAAAAGTTAGAAATTTAAAAAATATCATTTTTTTTTATTTCATAACACAATTTCCCGATTTTGGATCAACAAAGTACATCTTATTATCTTATACTAACAGCACTACGCCTATATTGCGTACAGCGTCCATATACTATGGCGCACCCCCCCCCCCCCAAATCAAGTTGAACCGCCCCAGCCCCAGTAAAAACCAGAGGTTTATGTGAAATTGTTCTTTTTTTGAAATAATGGTTTTAGTGGGCAATTATAGGTTTTAATTTTGTTTTTGTGTTAATTTAAAATAAATCAAACTCCCAAAAAACGTACACAGCTTCTGTGTGCTTTTATTAACATTGGAATTTACTGTGTAAGCAGCCGCGGGGGGGGGGGGAGAGCTTTAGAGAGCTCTCTCCTGAAAGACTGAGAGGCTCTGATAACCTCAGCTCAGTGAGGTAAAGGCACACCTTTATATGATCATTATAGTTGTGAAAAAATAAGAGAATAGATGAAAAACAGGTATAAAATATGATATGACAGTAAAAAAAGTAGTTATTAATAAACAAGAAAACAGTTTGAAAGGGGAGTGATTTGTAAAATATCCAAAAAGAAAATCTGCTTCCAGTTCTGTTTCATCTGGGTGTTGAGAGATGTCTCCATAGATCTCTTAATGTTGCTCTCAAAGTGCACCAGATTGATGCTTTTAACTTAAAAAAGTCTTCCCGGGGGAGCATGCCCCCGGACCCCACTAGAGGAGGTGAGGTCCTCCCCACTTAAATGATGTTCAAATGGATAGGAAACTAAATACAGTTGCACACATATTGTGTCCATATCTTTGTTTTGGTGGTCATGCCACAACCGTGCATGCGCAAATCATAGTGAGTGTCTGGGGGCGGGGGGGGGGCGCCAGCTAAAATCTCGCCTAGGGCGGCAAATTGGTCAGGGCCGGCCCTGGTTGTGGACACTAGCTTACTCCCGCCTGACTCGCCGCCCGCGCCCCCGGAGCAGCAGTCTTCGTCATCCGAAACTACGCCGCCCCTCTGCGGCCCGCAGGTGCCAGGATACCACGGCAAAACAGAGCCTGCCCAGGTATATCTAAACAAGTACCCGCCTGTACAGTGGGGTTAGGCGGTCATTTCGTGGTATAAAAATAGACAAGGGCTAGAATATTCATGTGAAAATAGTGCCATATTCTGCCATGCCTGTAGAAATGTTGGGTCAAAAATAATGCATACAATAGCACAGATGCCTTCACCACAAATGGCTACAAAATATCTCATATCCCAAGCTTATCAACGAGCTGATGTTGCAGCTGAAATGTTCTCCAGGTCACAAAGTCAACCTCACATGATGATGTGATCCAGTTTTCAAGCACAGTAAATATTCTCTTCCCAGAGTATATGATGGGACCAAAGTGATGATTTAGTACATGGTTTTAATAATACTTTTGCTTTTCAATGTTTGCCATTTCAAACCATGAGCTGGTTCAAATCATATTTGCCTTGATTTACAATATGTTCTCATTTGTGTTATCAGTACAGTTTTGAAGCTGTTGTGCTTTTCTTTGCCACAGTCCACTTTGGACTGAGATATTTCAGGATTGCACTTTTAACTCACTTGAAATGTTCTCACTTGCTTGGTTTCAAAACATAACAAAGGCCATAATCTGTTCATTGGGGACCATCAATGCTATTTTTCATTGCTGTTGCCGGCCACTATTGCTCATGTAAACCTACTACTGCTGCGCCCCCTGTAACCTCAGAGGCACCCCGAGTCATTTAGTTCTGGAACCGGGCCTGTACACGGCCATATACTAAACACACTACAGAGCCCATTCCGTGTCCTGTTAGTGTTTACTTCCTCTCTGCCTTCTTCTGGTGATTTATCTGACATCCAGCGCTCCGTCTTTTAACCTCTTTTCCTTTCTCTTTCTTTCCTTAGCAACCTTCATTATAGTCCTTGACAGTGGTTCAACTGTATTAACAACGTGTCACATGTTAAGAAGTTACAATCAGAATCGAGTATTCAACTAAGCCGTATAATACAAGTTGTTAGTAGCCTTAAGGGCCTACACAGTTGTTATGCTATACCACATTGCCCTTCACTGGATGTATAATGAGCTGCACTAAACTACATTTTAGCATTTAAAACACCTAGCCATTCTTTTGCGGTTATTTTGGTGAAAGTAACTCAAAAGTAACTCATTACATTTCAGAGACAGTAATATTGTAATGTAACTTATTACTTTCAAAAGACAGTAATAAGTCATATGTAATATATTACATTTTGGAAGTAACTTGCCCAACACTGGTTGACTGTCTTTGGATGTTTGACATTCATAAACGGATGTAAAGCATCTACAGAGCTGGCTGTTTTAGTATGCATTGCCCGAGGGGATGTACATCGTAGGAATATGTATTATATTGAGATTTCTACAACCATCTTAACTGAAATGTGGCAGTTTAAACCCTTCAGTACAGAAACCATGTTAGCACGTCTGTGTTGAAGCTATTCTTATGCAATAAGCTTATAGCTTAGCTTTGAGCTAAATGCTAATGTCAGCATGCTTTAGATTCCGATGTTGACTCCCTAAAGACTACAACACCCAGATGGGAGTGGCTTCGCTGGAGGTAGCAATGCACGCTACATGGAGCTCTGTAAAAGTCCTTGCCTGTAAATGAAGTTGGACTGATTGGCAAAGTATGCGATGGACTTTCTTTTCAATTTTCGGAAAATGAGGCAATTATCCAAATATTAGCTTCATGCATAAATATAGAATATATTGTTCATGTTTTCCTATGTGTGTATTTGCTCCAATACCTCTGTATATATGGCAACAGTCGAGTACAATTCATGGAAGTTGCATCAGTACAAGGAATATACATCTAAATGTAAAAATATATAATCTAAAATGTAAATAAATCATCTGTTAAAAACGGAAAGTTAGCTTTGAATGTTCCCGCCTCTTGGCCTATCACGTACAATGTGTTGAAGCGCCAGCCAATACATTTGGAGTGTGGGATTTTAACCTCTGCAGACCATTTACATGCACACAAACATATATAACACAGTACAGGAAAGGGGAAACTCCAAAAAGCATAATAGGGCTCTTGAATACACATTTATTGCATATTGCTGGAGGGGGCCTGGGATTATATTTTATTGCCAACAACTGCTTCTCTGTAAGGCACATGACAATAAAAAAACAGAACGCTCGTTGTTAGAATGAGCTCATCTTACTGTTCCAGATGACATGATGCTTTTATGTCTACCAAGGTGTTTTCCTGCAGGTGCAGCCAAGCTTTTATATGACAGTCGTAGCACGCAGCACATATGGTTGGATTTAGCTGGGCTTCCTCCTAAAGCTATAAGATCATGTGACAAGACATGTCATTTTATTATACAGCCATAACTATTTAGTGTTTGCTAACTTTAGCCACGATAAGCTACTTGTCATATTTCACCCAAGAGTGTTGAATTAGTAACGGTGTGTTTTTTTGAGTACTTTTTATACTTTAGGTACATTTTGCTGATAATAGTGTACTTTTACTCAAGTGAGATTTTTAATGTAGTACTTTTACTTGTAATGGAGTATTGGTACTTTTACTTAAGTAACGGATCTGAATACTTTTTCCAGCACAGGTCTCACTTTCAATCCTTAGTAGAAGAGGGTGTTTTAACATTATCTCAGGAGATTTACATTTTATGAGGGAAAACAGATTTCTTGAGGAATATAAAAAAAGTAGTGATGTCTCGTGGAGATTTCATCTTGGGGTTAAGGCAAAAATGTTCATACAAAAACCATGGCAGACGCAGAAGTACCCTGATGAGCATTATAACGCTGCATTTGCATTGCAGCGTTAAGAAGTATAGATTGTCATAAGCCTCTCATTTTGACACAGGAGCCGAGGTGCTAATGAAGATGAAACGGGGTAAGATGGCTGCAGAGCTCCTGTGAGTCTGACGCCTGTCGAGACACGCCGTAGAGAACAAGAACGCCACCTGTGAGTTTGCCGCTAAATCACCTGATGAGGAAGAGAAGGGCCCCCCCCCCCCTGCTCAGGAACTAGCTGTTACCCTTTGAAGGAAAGTTTAAAAATGATAAATTAGACGGGAGAAGTGGAAAAAAGAATCCTGAATTACAGTGCCTTCTGTAAAGCCACACCAGTGTTGTGACACCCTGTAGCCAAAAGTGATTACATCTGTCATGACCTCAAGACATTCCATTAACTTAATAATGCTTCATTTAACTGTCTGCATTTATCAAAAGTACAAAGAGTTACGCTCTGCTGTTTGCTCACTGATGGAGCAGATTTGGCTTCGGGGCACATGTTTCAAAATATCAAAAAATAAATTAGAGTTAAGCCATTTTTAATAGCTGCAGGAAAATGAACACACACAGACATTGATAGCACGATAAAGGGAAGCTTCATTATTCATTTCTTCTTGTTTTCTTCATAGCTCTGTAGCTATGCAAGTTTTCAGTTTCGAATTTACTTCTTTTCTTAGTGCAAAATAAAGCCCAAGTACTTCCAAAAATAATTTCCCCATGTGACCTGACTTGGGTTTCTGAATGATGATGACGCTGCTACATATATTTTTAACTACATATATCCTTATCTTAAGTCATTGTATTGCCTAGAGTAGAAAAACCCGACAGGAGTTACAACAGATAGCTAAGTAATGTATTGTATTATGTGTTATTTAATAGCTTATGTTAATTTCACTTGTGTAGTTCTGTAATACTGTTTCAGTACTTTGAAAGTTACAATTCTGCAGGGAAAACACGGGATAGCCTTATCTTTCAGGCATGAAAAATGACTGCAATTGTTGAATGCAGAAAACAAGCAACTCATTTCTAAGGCAGTGCATTTCAACCAAAGGGCTGTGACAAAACCACTTTCACTTAGTCGCAGAAATAGTAAATAATTTGCCATTGTTGAGCCTTCAATGTAGTGGCTGGATAAGTAATTAAATACTCTTCCACGCCACTGAGTCATGGACACAACTCTAAACTTTTCTAAGGTATTAAAAAGCAGTTAATCATGAAGGAATTTACCGAGCAAAATAGAATAATCTGTGAGAAGGAACATAACTAACTTTTGGATTGAGAGCCCCGGTGCACCTGTGTGTATCCCCATGTGTGTGTGTGTACATCCTGAAGGCAGGCAGACACAGGAACAGACTCATTCTTTCCTCTTACAAGGTGTCCTGGCTATTTTCCTGTCTCATCAGCTGCTGTGCGCCGGCGTGTCCTCAGCGGGGACGATCAATGGGCCAGATCATACGGTAATGGGAGCCATACTGCACCGCTGCGCTGTACTAGATGTGAACGTATGGAATTTCTCATGTCTTTTAACTATATACGCTGTCTTTGTCAGTCATTCCTCCATTAAATCTGGAGCCCAGCTGGGTCCTCAGCGCAGGTCAGTGGGTAGGCAGAGAATTGAAGGTGAATGCATGAAATGGGGTCAAACGGGGTCAACGCTTTTAACTGTTAGCACAAACAGCTCACAGCTCACCTTTGGTCCAGGGAGACCCTCTCCGATCTGTCCTCTTTCTCCTTGGACTCCCTGTGACCCTTGAGGCCCCTGAATAAAACAAAACGATGTGCATGAACAAGAGGAACATAAAAAATGACCTATTTTACAATATACTGTACTGTGTGTGGGAGGGTTACAGGTAGGGATTGCAAAGCAGAAGACATGTTAGATGATCAAGGGTCAGACAGACGGATCCAACTTTGATTTTCATTTAACAGCTTCCGCATTCAAAATGATCGTAAACATTTAAGAATTTACAGATTAAAACCGACTAATTGATTTAGCATTAACAGGTGTTTGAACCTGCTAATTGGTCCATCTAAAGTAGTCATCATTAAATGAGAAGCCTTCATTTATTGCTTTTGTATGAAACCAAAGACCCAGTGTGAACTCTGCCGGTAGATCTGTCTGTTATTATTTTAATCTGTAAGTGTGCGGTACAGTACTTGAGGTACACAGTAGCGTCAGAAACAGGGGGGCTTCCTACTCACCGGTGGTCCAGGCTCGCCAAGTCCCTGAGGACCAGAAGGCCCTGTAGGCCCGTGGTAACCCACAGCACCCTGATTGGTAGGGAGCGACATGAATGCAGGGTGAGACACAGGTGCTTTATTATGTTCCCATGACTTCATTTTCCAAAACAATAGGATTAAGATTGTACCTTGGGTCCCGGAAGGCCGATCCCAGTTTCCCCTTGGATTCCAGGTGGGCCAGAAAGTCCCCTTTCCCCCTATAAAACACAGGCAGGGAGAGACATGTGCTGATACCAGAGGAGATGCACACGCTGCTGTGTGAGTGTGAGTCCTGGGTCAGGGGTAGGACACCATGGGACATCAGTGAAGCTGACTAGAACCCGAGATCCTCCCTCTCTACTTTCTCTTCCTCTAATTTAAGCTTCTTTAAAAGGGGGTTTAGACATGTATAATGGGATCCCTCCATTCCCTTTGTCAAGATTGTATTGGTAAAGAATGCAATTATTTACTCACAGGCTGTAAATCATGGCCATGGTGTGCAGCAGGAGGCGTGAGGAAGGTGTGGAAATGTTAGCGAGCGCATACCGGCACTTTTCTTTTTCACTTCCCTTGCCCTTTCAGGCAAGTCGGGGCGATGTTTAGAGCCAGACATTCAGGTGAAATAGAATGACAGCCAGACAATCAACATGAACATTCTTCCAAAAATAATTAGGGAGGGAACACTTGCTGGAGAGTGTGGGCTCATAGCAGAATTGGCAGCTATAACACGAGAGGGGCCTAAAAAGTAGGAAAGGACAAATAAGCTGACGGGGTAATAACAGATGAGGCACTTCAAAGAGGCTTCAAATGTTCCACTGGTGACGGATCATAACTCACAAATATGTGTTTGAATGTATGATCAGCTTGTAGGCCACCTGACGTTTCTGATGTTATTTATGCCCAGGATCATCTGATTAATTCCAAACGCATTTTAAATGTCAACTTCAAACTTCAAATGTGGGAGGAGAAACCCTCAGGAACAGAAATAACACTTTATTACGTCTGAGTTCTTACACTTTATATTCTTACACATGCAGCAACACCTTTTTTCAGCTCTGCAACGCCACAGGTAACGCTCATGATCCTGGTTCTGATGAATCCCCTGACTATGAAAGACACTTCATTGGAACCAGACTTGACAAGAAAAAAAAATTAAATCAGTATCCTTCAGATATCCATCTGGTTTTGGAGAAGGGGAAAGTCTTTGGCACACAGTAAATCCAAGTGTGTATGTAAAGGAAGGGCCAGTTGGAAACTAGAAAGTATGATATGCTGCTTTTGTAGTTTCCTTTTGTTCTTAACACTTCCCAGATTCAGAGGTTTGGTTCGATTTAAAAAGCATCAAGACTGAAGAATACTTACTTTTTTACCCATTGGACCTTCAGGCCCATTGTCGCCAGGTGGACCAACTGAACCCTGTAATGTGAAGAAGAGAGAGAAGGTTACACATGGGCATTGAAAAGTAGAAATTATTAGTAGAGGATGAATGATCAGAATGGATAGCATTTCAGATTTAGCAAATGGTGAATTGGATTTTGTGATATATTTCACCTGAAGTCCACGATTTCCTCTTGGGCCAAGTGTACCTTCAGGACCCTAGAAAAGGTGTTAAAACAATTATAGTCCATGAAAATAATACAAAAATATTAGAAAAAATGATCGAGCATCAATGAAGCAATGACAAAAACCAAAGATATTGTGACAAAAGGTTAGACTTGGTTTTAAATGATAACAACATTAAGCAGCACGTACTCTGTCTCCCTTAATTCCAGGAGTGCCACACTCCCCTCTCTCTCCCTGTAAGAGAAGGAAAAGCAGTTTAGTAAAGCAAAATCTATCTTACATCATTTCAAGTTTATGACACAGATTTCCAGGAGAGCAATTTATCTTGGAAAATGGGTTTTAATATCCCAGCCAGGTGCTGGTGAGCAAAGCCTAAGTAGATGGGACCTACTTAATTAAATTCCTTTAAAAGAAAAGTAACTACAGATTCTAGCAGACAGGCTTGACATTAAATACAGATGAAGAAAAGGAGAACAAAAGGCCATGATATTTCAAAGTCTTTCCTGTGAGCGTTTCCTTTCAAGGCCTTGGAAACATAATTCTTCACTCTCTCTGACTGTTGCATATTTTACACAAGCGTGGGAATCTGATAATCTATAGAGAGACCGCACAGTAAATAGAATCCATACAATACCTTCTCTCCTTTGTATCCAGATTTCCCCTGTGTGTACAAAACAGTCATGTTAAGTCAGAAGGAGACAGACACAAAACACTGCCACACAAAACCCAGAAAAATAGTTGTCATAATTGTCAAATAATTACAGTTTGTTTATCTGTACTTGTCAATTTTGACTTAATCCCAAGTTGATTGAAGACACTAAGCTCACCTCAGATCCTTCCCGACCAGGAAGTCCACTGAGCCCACCCTCACCCTAAGGGAGAGAGGAATATTAGTATTTACAAGGAAAGGCCTCCTGGTTTGTACGAGAAGTTTCTTGTCTCGAACCGGTAGTGAATGAGTGATTGTTTAACGGGGGAACACCTTGTGTCCTTTCGTGCCGGGGTTTCCATCTTCTCCAGGACGGCCCTTCTTGCCCTGTATAGAAAATAATGGAAGTAAAATAACTGAATAAAAACAAATCATACAATTGTACCCCTAATACATCCTTATTTTCTACATTTACATACAAAACATATTAAGGTAAGCTTTAGCCACTTTATAAAAGCGGTTATGCAGGAAATAACATGTGATACTTTTAAGATAAGATAAGATGGACTTTTATTAATCCCTCATGGGGAAATTGTTTCTCTGCATTTGACCCATCCTAGTGTTAGGAGCAGTGTGCTGCCATTTTGAACGGCGCCCGGGGAGCAGTGTGGGGAACGGTGCCTTGCTCAGGGACACCTCGGTAGCACTTGGTCTTGCCGGGACTTGAACTGGTGACCTTCCAGTTGCCAAGCCAAGTCCCTATCGACTTCGCCACCACCTAACATAAACAGCTTTAAATCAATAATAATAAAGAACATCCAACTTAGCCTGCAGCAGGTTATCTTAGCATAAAGGCTAACAGAGGGAAGCTAAACGAACAAGTACATGGTTTATTAATAAGCCTGTGAGCTGTTAATAGGCTGAATAAGCTTTATGCTAAGCTAACTAGCTGTAGCTTCATATTTCCTGACAGACACAAGTGGTATAAATCTTCTCATCTGACTGAGCAAGAAAGTGAATTGGTGTAAATCCCAAAATATTCAACAATGCCTTTAAGTTTGGCAACTATTTTAAATAAGGGAACAGCTTTAACTTGTAGCGTAGCTATTCATCCATGTTTTGCTTTAGCTGCTAATAGAAGAGTCTGTTTTTCTTGCTAGCTGCCTTGTGTTCTGCGATACGCAATTCAAGAGATCTTTTTCTTGACCCCTCGGCTCCATGTTGCAGCAACATGTTGTGCAGCTCTGGTGAAGTCTGGGCGCAGATGAGTCAGAGGGGTTATCCAGCTGTCTGCATGTGTGTGAGAGGAATCACCCCAACAACTGTCTGGCTCTTCTCTCTGTTTCCATGCATCGTGCATGTTGTTCTCTTTCAAATATCTCCCCGTTTGTCAGTGTGCTGCGGCTGATGTGAAACAGCTTTTGTTCGGAGCATTACGTTTAAAGAGGTAATTACTCTGTTCTCATCCTGTGAAAATACATCAAAGCCCAACCACTACGTCTAATTGCCGCTGACCTTCACTTTGTAATAAAAGGCATTGGCAGAAGAAGAAAGTTGTGCATGTAACCTATCCAGAGAGCATTTGTCCTCAGACAATCCCAAGTGGCTGGGTTCTTTGGAAAGACATGATCCTCCTGGTTACCCATGTAAATATCTGTTTAGGCCTGTTCTCAATAAACTGTAAGAGGAATGCAAGGTATTTGCTTTACTAACACTGCTGCAGGGAAACAGAGATACTCAAAACCGCATGATTTACTAAAGCTCCCCAAAACCCTGCAATTACACTGAACAAAAATATAAACGCAACACTTTTGTTTTTGCTCCCATTTTTCATGAGATGAACTCAAAGATCTAAAACATTTTCTATATACACAAAATAACCATTTCTCTCAAATATTGTTCACAAATCTGAAAAAATCTGTGATAGTGAGCACTTCTCCTTTGCCGAGATAATCCATCCCACCTCACAGGTGTGGCATATCAAGATGCTGATTAGACAGCATGATTATTGCACAGGTGTGCTTTAGGCTGGCCACAATAAAAGGCCACTCTGAAACGTGCAGTTTTGCTTTATTGGGGGGGGTCTGGGGGGGTCCGAAAACCAGGCAGTATCTGGTGTGAGGGGTAGGGTTAGGGTTAGGGTAATGTTGTGAATCGAGTGGCCTGTGTTCGTTGTCCATAACATACGCCTGCCCATACCATAACCCCACCACCACCATGGGCCACTCGATTCACAACATTACCCTAACCCTAACCCTAACCCTAACACCAGATACTGACTGGTTTTCGAACCCCCCCAATAAAGCAAAAATGCACATTTCAGAGTGGCCTTTTATTGTGGCCAGCCTAAGGCACACCCGTGCAATAATCATGCTGTCTAATCAGCATCTTGATATGCCACACCTGTGGGGTGGGATGGATTATCTCGGCAAAGGAGAAGTGCTCACTATCACAGATTTTTGAGAGAAATGGTTATTTTGTGTATATAGAAAATGTTTTAGATCTTTGAGTTCATCTCATGAAAAATGGGAGCAAAAACAAAAGTGTTGCGTTTATATTTTTGTTCAGTGTATGTAGCCTGTTGGCATCTAGGGAGCCTTTTGTCAGCTGTGCTGTCCTCTACAGCGCTTCAGTTGGAAGTGATGGTTTTTATGGGCAGCAGCAGACAACATGTGGTTTCAAGATAACATAATCTTACTGTATGTAGCAGAGGAGGTCCAAAATAGAACCATACAAAGTGAAATATTAAGTTATTAAAAATAAGTAGCGCTTGAGATGACCGGTACGCAGCATTACTGTGTTCCTTCTACAAGAAAATAGCATGACGATATCTATCTAAAGTTGAGGGGACAACCAGAAGTATGAGATATTTTCCTTACAGTATATTATCAAATTAATAGCAACAAATAATGTATATTTTTGAACCAATAGTTTAATACATAATACTATGCTCATAGTTATGAAGATATAACTTTATCATTCTTAGTTTCCAAAGCTAACGCTGGGTTTGCTAAAGTATAATCATATTACATATTCAGCTTTTGTTCTGGTACAAAAAACAAGTGCTAACAAGCTAACAAGTGGCTAAATGATCAACAGTTTGAAATCAACTGACGCAAAAAACGATACTTCTGACTTTTTCAAAGTGTCTATAATGAAATTAAAATGATCCCTTTCAATAAATTCTGATATAATGAGAAAGGGGGATGAACATTAACTTAATAATCATAATGATGTATTCATACTCACAGCAGGGCCGCTGGGTCCCCTCTCACCCTTGTCACAAGCACACTTGCTCTGGGCCAGAGGACACTTCAAACACGGGGAAAGAAGAGTCAGACATTTGGGGACATAAATCAAGAAATGTGCAAAGAAAAAAGCTCAGTCATGAGACTTACCCCTTCATCTGCCAGAGCCGTCTGTGGAGCAAGAAACAGAAGAATGTCAAGATGTCGTCAGACTGAGCCCATATGGTTCATGTATCCCCCCCCCCCAGCACACACTGTCAGAACAGATCACAGGAATCAAAGACTACAATTGAGATATTGTCAAAGTAGACTGATGGATGACTCTCAGCTTAATCCGTGGTCCCTTTTAAACCAGACAGTAAAGCGGATACATCCATTTTGAAATGAAGATACAGCCCGGAGGTTTATGGTCCCAAAGTGATGAACATGCAGAAATAAAAACATCTTAGTTCCAGCGGCCATCAATCAGATGAACAAAGTTGTACAGATACTATGAAAGCAATACTTATTTGTTATCATTTTATTTTCGTGGTTTAGGTGATGATTGTTGTGGTATTTTGTTTGTCTAAAGATGGATGCCTCTGTCTTACGCAACCCAAAATCTACCTTCGTACAAATAAAGTAACCTAAACCATTTACTTCTGGTCTCAAAGTTAGATTGTAAGATTTTATTAGCACCGTGTCCACAGCTGGCTTGGGTTCAGGCCTTCGACCTCCTCCACCTGTTTCTGCGAGTGGATTCACATCCTTCGTTTCCTCGTCTTGGCAAAGCTCCGATTTTCACCAGACACTTTGTTTTTCTCTTCAAAGCTAACCACATTCTCTACACAAGGAGGAATGGTCACAATTCCAATGAGACGAAAAACAAACCACATGCATTGATGGGTAAAACATCCTCGCTAAGCATTCAGGGGATGTTTCGGTGTCGGGTGTCTGAAGACGACAGACAGGGGAGTGATGTGGTCAAATGCTGAGACTGAAAGATTAAAGACAGTGTCTCACAGAGGAACTTTCTGATGACATACAGATGCACATGGAGGGCAATGAGATGAAAGCGTGCTGCTGGGCTCTTGCATGCCAGCAGAATTGCAGGCTGTCAGGATCAATGCTGTCGGAGCCTTGATGCAACCTTTCTATAAAGTTTCCCGTTATCATATTTAGACGTATACCACCTGTGTCAACATTAAGAGTTTGAAGTGGTGTCTGTGGAGCTGGTAGGAAAATGTAGCGTGCATGCATGTTCATGCTGTGCTCTCACTGCACCCGATTTTCCCACGAGGAGTTTTATAACGCGGAGCATATGTTACAGCCAGCAGCCCGGTTGTGTCTGCAGGATGTTGCTGCGCAGCACATGTTCTAATTATGTCAGTGGAAATTAACCGTCAGTTCATGGAAGTGACCCAAATCACTCACGATAAAAAAACTGGGAATGAAGACAAACTTTGTCTTGGGGTAATTCCTAACACACGCTTGGGCGAAAAAGAATTTTCAAAGAGATTTTTTCACCCAACTGAGTGAATCAGGATGCATTTATCTTACAGTGATGACAGCAGAACTGTTACTATGGTAACAGTTCTGCAGTTCTGGTGGCAGGTGTACATCCGTGATGTAATGAGGTAAAACATAAAGCAGTGGGTTTTGTAGGGACTTGCTTTTTGGGGGAATGAAGAAGTTAGAGAAGCTAAAAAATCTAGTTTACATTACTGGTAATAAACAAAAAATAAAAATATATGCAATTACACAAATGATTAAAGTACCTTTGTAATTTATGTTTGCCCAAATCAATGACTTTATAATGCATAGCATCTAAAACCAGAAAGCTAATTGGACCAATGTCACTTTTGAAAATGTGGTTTCAAATCTGAAACAAAAACAAAGATAATGTTTACTCACTATCTCCTTGATGAATTTATCCACAATGCCTCGGTCCTGCAGGTTGTGAAGGTAGCGGGAGGCAGGGGAGCTAGCGATTAGCCGCAGCTGGGCTACGTTGGCCTGCTCGTTGGCTTCAGGTGTGATGCCGATGCTGAAGAATCGGACTCCCTGGTTTTTGGCATCAGCCACGGCAGAAAATATATCTGGGTTCCTCGGGTGTGAGACGCCATCGAAGAGCAGGACGGCCACCTTGATGCTGCTGGGACCCGACTCCTCCAGGTAGATACGGGTGAGGTTGGTGATGGCGTAGGTGGTGTAGGTGCCGTGACCGATGTACGCGATGGGTGTGATTCGAGCCTTGAAGTCTTCAATACCCCTCCACTGTTTGAAGGTCTGCTCTATGATGACATGGCTGCTGTACTGGAGGAGGGCGGCCCTGGAGCTGAGGCCCCGGCCCGTCTGCAGCCGAAGGTTCTGGAGCCGGCCCATCACGTCCGAGGCGAAGCGCTTCTCCTGGGCATGGTTGTCCTTGGCGCTCTCCGAGCTGTCGATCAGGAAGGCTATCTCCAAACTGCAATCTTCATCTATGAGTGCTAAGGAAGGAAGAGAAGAAATCTTAGCAATGATATCAAAAGAAAGAAGTAATGGTTTGCACTGATTCAGACAGCCGCTTTGGACAATTATTTTGAATTACAGTGAAGCATTTTCGTGGAATTGTTCGCTCAATGTGACTGAAAAGCAATTGATTCATTTGAGAGTTGGACCTTATGTGGTGTTTTGCGCTAAGCTAACGTTAGCTCACTTTCAACGTTGCTCTAGCTGCAATAGCCGCAACTACTGTTAGCTAACATCCTTTCAGCCCTGTGGTCAGAGGAATGGAGAGCCTAACAGGTGATTTGGTGGTTGCCTATCAACAATCACAAAAAACAACCCAGTATAATCAGGGCCTTATTTATTTTCTTCAGTTTGGTGAGAAGATCTAACACTCTTTACACTGGTTAGCTTAGACTGTAAACAAGGGGAAACTGTTTAAAGGGATTGCATACCATTACTTTTTGGCATTTCATCATAAGATGATATTTGTAATTGCTTCTGATGTATTATTCATGAGTTTTCTGTTGCCAAGTTACTTGTCTGGATCTTTACAATCAAAACACATCTTTAATTACTCTCATATCAACACAGTATGGCTGTTCAACTCGTCTGAACAAGATATATTGTAGTTGGTTTGTGGAGAAGACTTTCATATCCAGCTAAATATATAGATACACGTCTTCACAGCCAAATGGATTTTATGAGTCAGGGAGAAATCTTTATCTATGGAGCCTAAAGGTGATTTACTGACTATTTAGGCTTCCCTTTCCAGATAGGTGTTCATGAATGTGACATACATTTTGAAGAGGGAATAAAAGCAACTTAACTTGCCGCACCAACCTTCAGCAAAGGAAGGAGGTCACAGATGTAATAGAGGCTGAGGATAAATCACATTAATCTAGGTGGAAATATGTCACTGAGAGAATGCGCCTGGGGAACCAGGATTCTGAGCGTATAAAACATTTGGGTAACAGAGCACTGAGCGGTCACACAGGAGATGGATGGCTCCGAGAGGCCTTAGAGATATGATCAATCCGAGTGGATTGCATCCTCCAGCGATGTCCTTGTTGAGTATCATGTTCGATTTTTTTTTTACCTGTGGCAGCAGCTTTTTCTCCCGGTGATGAAAAAAGTGAAAGATGTTCTGCCTTCACAAATTCCATGCCACTTTACCTAGTTATATCAGTATAGCCAATGAAACAGCCCCAGGGCAAATGTAGAGAAAATACTTACATTTCTGCGGTATGGAATTGGAGGGAATTACTTTGAGCTTCTTCTTGGTGGTCACCACCTCTTCCTCATAGTCTTCACCATAGTCCTGTGCACAGAGACCTTGAAGTCCCCACAGGAGCAGGAGCCAGTGCAGAGAAGGCAGCATGACTTCCCTGAGAGATGAAGAGAAGACACAGATAGATAAAAAGACCCTGACACGTCCTCACATTTTAATACCTTCCAGAAAAAAAACTCAGAGAACAAGCTTTAACAAGCATGAGGGTTTGAGACTCAGGCATGCATAACTCACAATGTTGCTGACTTAGCTTTCCAATGTATTCAGCTCTATAAAGCTCTCCTGGCAGTGAGGAAGTTCAGGAAAAGTGCAAGTAGGGAAAAGGAGAAGGATTCTTCATTCAGAGTTAGTTTGTTTCCATGTCCTGAGCATCCAGCCGAGTGTCCTCTTCCAGGGATGGATCCTGATTGAGTCTGAAGGTCAAGGCACGTAGAGGGGACACCAGCAGCAGCGGCAGCAGCAGCGGCAGCGGCAGCAGCAGCGGCAGTGGCAGCGGCAGCAGCAGCGGCAGTGGCAGTGTGTTACTAAAGGTTCAGACTGTATTCTGCATCCAATGAGACTCAATTCAAGCCATTCAAAACTGGCAGTAAATTAAGGGAAGTCCAGCCCTCTTTCAAAATCACTCACTCCCATGTAGGGGAGTGTGTGGGAGGGGTACAGCGTATAGACAGCCCTCATCATGACAGAGCAATGAGTGCCCCCCCTTCCTATTTCTTGTGTCATTTTGTATTTGTGCTGGACTATTTAAAAACGGAATGAAAGCAAATCCCCTGGGAATAAAAGCAATGTGTCAAAGACAGCTGGTTAGAATTCAATGTGTTGGGTTAGGTGGGGTTAGGGTTAATGGGAGCACCCATTAAGACACCAAGGTCATGTCATTGGTCATGTTTGTGAAGAGTTTACAAATGTTGCTCTTTCAAATCTATTTCACTGAGTCCGACTGTTTGTTGGCAAAAGTACTGTAATGTAAAGTATTATTTTGTTAGCTTTGAAAAAGTAAAGGTCACATTCTTACAAAAAATCTATCTATCTATTGTTATCTTAATTAAGATAGATATGTCTGAGGACTTGATACCATTACACTGTATTTTAGCATTTACCATGACTCGAATTGTTACTTTTGGCCACTGTGGCGCTCTTTAGCAAAGGTTACATAGTCTCGCTTTTGACTGAACTGTTAAATGAAAGTCCTGAGGCATTATGTGGTGCTGGTTGTCCATCTGTCTCTTTCTCCTGAATGCAATACCTCTGGAATGTCTTAGCACAGACGTCCAAAGTCAACGTAACTTCACAGAACATATTCTTATGGCATTTAGGACCGACATGGATGTTAACTGCCACTGTACTGTTTGGAGAATTTTGAATTTACATTGGTGGTGTAAACTGGAAATCTTCATAATGAACCTGGATGCAAAAAGTTGCCTATACAATGTTTCAGCGCACAGCAACACTGCTTGTTTCGTCCCCACCAAAAACTGGCTTTAAAATGCTTGCTATGTTTTCTAGCTAGTTGCTAAGGTTGTCTTTCTGCTATCCTGTTGCAGACAACAATGGAACTTTGAGAGCTGAACCGAAAAAGTAAAGTTGTTGGAATTAACCAAAAGAATGAGCTCAAAGACACGATAAAGCTCCAAAGAGAGAGACTGCAAGCTACATCTTTCACATTACACATAATCTGTCTATCCAGTGTTGTTATGAAAACATCTATAGCTGCTTTAAGGTATACATTATGTTGGTGTTTTCTTTTATTTGGCTTTCAGGGGCCTCGCCCTCCAGGATAATCCAGAAATCTGGAATAGTTTGTATAGGTGATTTATACCCTCAGGCAACACACCTTGCAAAAGCAGCGTAGCGTGATTCATCCTTAAAAACACAGAGCTGTCTTTCTGTTGGCATAATTCACTAAAAACATACATTTCTAGACGACAGAAAGAAGTAAATCCGTATGAAGGCTAGTGCCACTATCATTTACAGCTAAATCCATATTTATATCCTCTGGCATTTGTCTTTTTGGAATTTACTACTATTTTCAGAAAAGTCAGATTTTGTGCATTGACCCATGACATCCAGAAGTCTCTTGAAAGCCACCCGTTAAAGGTTATCACAGTTGACTTTCTTCAGAACGAGCCCCGTTTTCTTATTGAAACCTGGTGCGTGTTTCTTTTCAGCACCAAAGACAAGTCTCATAACTCTTTGATTTCATTATAATCCCTGTGCAGTCCCGGATCAGAGGAGTCTCAACATCCCATGAGACTGTCTGCAGCCATAAAAGCTGAAACTGGATTCACATAACTCAGCAACAAGGATGACCGTGTGTTTTTATTAACTACTGTACTCCTGAAAGCAAGGAAAGGTGAGCTGTCACTCAAGAATGCTTCCCCTGAAAAATAGTTCTCCTTAAACCTGGTTCCACTCTCCGTCCTTCGTGAGGAGACCTGATTATGCAAAGCAAGGGTTTACGGGATTTTATTTTTTTTAATATTGTGTATGCTAGTTTGTAATGAGACATAAGAAGATGCTGTTACTGCTTGTCTGACCTTAAAGCTTTTAAAAAGGTACAACTTTGGCTACTAAATTAATAAAACTTGGATTATTCACTCTTTTTGTTGTATAATACACACAATTTAGCAAATCTAGGACTCGGCAAACGACTGAGTTTCAATATGAGATACCATATACAAATGGAAAACTAAAGAATATCAAGTTAGAGGATGCTAAAATAGCGTATCTGGAAATCCACTTAATAGTAACAATCGTTTTTAAATGCATTTAGTTTCAAAGTTAAGATCCTACTTTCGTTCAAAGCAGGGATTCTGAATTAATGAGTTCTCAAAGCAGTGTCTCTAAATTATAAGACCCATTATTTTAAACGTGCATATTTAAATAGATGAATAAGGACGGATTGATCTAAAAATAAAAAACCACAGTAATGCTCTAAGTAGATACAGACACCAATAAAAAGCAGGACCTGGCATTTGGTATAACACCACATCATTTCGTTTTTAAAGACTACATAGTTTGATGTTGTTTTCTGTCTCTTTGCACTCCTTACGAATCTCTATGTTGTCTTTTTGAGTCTCTTTGGAGTCAATTAGGGTCTCTTTGTATTCATTTTGTAATTATTTCGAGTCTATTTGTGTATTTTTTTCACTTTGTTGTCATTGAGAGCCTCTTTATAACCATTGTGCTATTCTTTGTTGTCATTTTGAGTCTATATGTAATTATGAAGAGTCACTGTGCTTTCCTCACGTTGTACTTGTTGTTTATTTGAGCCTCTTTTAAGTTATTAAAAGTCTATTTTTTATCATCTTGTGTCTCTTTGCAGACTGTTCATGTCTCTGTGGTCGTTCTGAGTCTCTTGGTACGTGAATATTTGATTGACATCTTGCCGGGGCCTGTGTCCATGTGTATGGTGTGAAAGGAGAAGGTGAGGCTTTCTTTTATGACACTGTGGAAGCCACCACTTAGCTCTTTGATATCCTCTAAGCCCTGCAGGTATCTTTCCTGTGACATTCTGTCTAACCACTGTTTTTACAAGATAATGCATGTTCTTTCAACATATAGTTACAGCTCTGACAACAGAGGCTGTTGATTGTTAACAGGTGAACCCCACGTAAGAGTACTCAGAGCAGCGACACAGATATGTATGTCTCAACAGGTTTTCATACCAGTCTGATCTAAAGGAGAGCTGACAGCCACTCAGACACAGACCTCGGTTTGACGAGGTCAAACTGAAAATAATCCTTTAAGTGGAACAGTCATGGTATATTATAGGAATGTGTTACTGGGTGCTGTTCCACAGATATTCAGATAGAGGAGTATACGTTGTCAATCACAGATTAAAAGCATGACTTTCAAATATGACATGCTTGTCTTGTACCTGGCAGTTATTGTCTTTAAGCATGCTAATGTTTGCGAGCATCAAACACAAATGCTGCTTTCATGGGATGATCAAAATGTACAAGTTTTGAAGTCGCTCCTTTGACTTTGGTGTGTTCATTAACTTTAAGTCATAATGTGGAAACAACAAAGAAGTTGTATATATATTGTATATGTGTTATACTTGTAGCTACACCAGTACATGATAAGAAATAACTTGTATTACTAATCTAGGTCATTCTGCATGGACAACAGTTATCAATACAATGTAAAAAATGTAACATTACATATTTTTAAAAAGGTGTCTTACTATCAACCCAACAGTTACCTAAATCTGCCACGCAGACACGTAAACACAAAATGAGTTGCTTGCTTTTTTTCCCGATATCACATAAATGCAGCAAAGGTTAACCTGACGCTAAATGTAATTAGCTTTGCAGGCTTTTGTAAACTGAAGTGTTGTGCTGGATAAGATGTCATTAGAATGCATCCTATATTGACCATGAGCAAAATGTCATGAAAAATCTATTAAATAATTGTTGAGACATTAACGTCAGCTAAATACAATGTAATGTCCGTCTGGAATACAGTGTTGGACTGACAGGCAGACTTACATTTCTTCATTGCCTAGTCATGCTACTAGCAAGGCTTAAAACACTATATCAAAATCCCAAAAGCTACCATCTGTTTCAGAGTATTCTCATCACCTTTACGGTCTTTGATCAAAAAGCTTGAAAAGCAAAACAGTGTTTCCTCACCAGAAATGCACGGAACATGTCTGTCAGGTCGAAGGTCACCAGCTGGCCCAAGCATGATGAAGGGGGGGGGGGGGGGGGGTTACCTGATGGAGACAAAACACAGGTTGGTTTGGGATTGGAAACATTTGCACATATTTGAATAAAGGTTATTGTTGTGTATTCAAATACAGAGAGGAGCAGACTTTTCTCGACATCTCAAATGGTAACATGTCCATTCCTGCACGACGTGAATTCATTGAGCTTCATCACCATGGCTATAGTAACTGCAACACAGTCACAATATTTCCAGAGGTGGAGGAGTATTATGGAAACCTTTTGGAAAAAAGACTGAGTGGTCTAAACAGGTCTCCCTTTTCCACAAGAACTGTTCAACTGAATTGGCATTTAGAGGGATCTCCAGCTGTAATAATAGAACAAATCACCACAAAGCCTGCCAACACAAAGTGTTCTCAGTCATCACTCTTTAGTTTGTCATTCACAGGATGTGTAATCCAAATATGTGCTGTGTTTTCGCAGACAAATACAGACTAGTAGAGATGATAGGGTGCCTGCAGACAGTCGGATAATCATATGTGGGTAAGAGCAGTGGTGCCAAGCCTTGTTCAATCAGTACCAGTAATAAACAAACTACATTTAAGGAACACATTAAAAGGAGAATTTCCCCTAAACACACAGACTGATTTGTGTAATTATAGTGAATCTGCTACATACAATTCTACCATAGGGTATTCTTTGCAATGTTTACATTATGCTTTTAAATTAGGCTAAGACGATTTACGGATTTAAGCCCGCAAGCAAGAACAAGCATTACACTTGTCAGAAACGCACACACTCACACAAACTTGCACAAAAAACTTCCTTTGCACATTCTGTCTCTGTCAATACAGCAGCGCCCTCTAGTGTTCACATGGTGGTTGTACCTCTCCTAGCTTGAAATGCACACTTGCTGCATCCTAAACTCTAAAAGAAAATACTAGTCTGGTAGAAAGAAGTGGAACTTGGTGGTACTCAGATCTGGTACTTAGTCAAATTAGAAGTACCAGAGTGTAGGAATACTCCGTTACAACTAAAAGTCCTGCATTCAAAAGTTGTCTCAAGTAAAAGTACAAACGTATTAGCATCAAAATATACTTAATGTACCAAAAGTAAAAGTACTCGTTTAGCAGATACTGTTGAAATAGGAAATCTAAAAATGCCAATGTGATAGGAATTTAGGTAGAGAAGTCTGACATTCGTAGAGTACAGTAAGCTGTCAGTGTCAACAGAAATCTTGTATATCAGATACATTGGTATAAAAACAAGGAAATGTTTGTACTAGTGCAACTTGCACAATCACAAAATACCTTTTCATTTAGGTGGCATCGGCCTAGTCAGTTACTGCCTTAACTGCATGCAATAAAGTTGTGATGTTTCATCTAACAATAAGAACAATTGCACTTACAGTCTTAGAGTGTTCAGCTTTTTTCAAACATGAGCCAAAGCAATTGAGAAAAATAGTAGTTATTTTAAAGAAATACAAAATGACCGTTTTTGATTTCAGGAAAACACTGTTCCATGAACTGTGCCAGGAAGCCTGCAGGGAGACATCATTAGTGCTATTAATCCCACCTGGGTTTCAGCCTGCTTTCTCATTTCAAAATGTCTAGACTGAAAGAAGCACCTTTCTAAACTTCAGTTATATATAGAATATGTTTTTTTTTAAATGTGAACGTTATATGTTTAACTAAACAGTCCATTGTATGCAAAAGGGGAACTATTCTATTAAACTTGTAATATTTGTTGTACATGTTGTCTATAATACTTGCTACTAAATTGAGTAATTATGGATTTCATGTTGTGGTATTATTTCTTTAACTTAAATATTTAATCTAATTACTGTAAGAAAGTAAAGCTAAAGAATGACATTTGTATTATTTTAAACTTTCATCATCTTTCAATTTTTTTTTCTCTAAACAATAATAATAAGCATGTTTATTGGTTACTCTGGGATTAGAATAAAATGCACTTTTAATAAATATTGCAGACTTCGTATAACGGTTTAAACCATTACTTGTATTCACTCAGCACTAAAAGTGCCCTTAATGGGCAGGCACCATCTTACCTTAAATATACCCTACTGTCCTACTAGGGCATTGCGTTCCAAGAATGCAGGGTTGTTGGTTGTTCCTAGAGTCTCTAAAAGTACAATGGGAGCCAGAGCCTTTTCTTATCAAGCTCCACTTTTGTGGAATCAGCTTCCAGTTTGTGTTCGGGCGGCAGACACCCTATCCGTTTTTAAGAGTGCGCTTAAGACCTTCCTTTTTGATAAAGCTTATAGTTAGGGCTGATTAGATTCAGCCCCTAGTTTTGCTGCTATAGGCTTAGTTTGTCGGGGGACATCTTACTTCTTCCTTCTCTCTGTCTGTAGCATAGACTGTATATATAAACCTGTGTACTCTCATGTTCCGAATAACCCAGCTTCCCCCAGTTTCTTTTTGGTGTCTATCTACGCCGGGATCCTGAGTCGTGGCTGATCCTGTTGCTGTGGTCCTGGATCCTTAGTCCTGGATCCTGAGTTGTGGTTGTGCCTGTTGCTGTGGTCCTGGATCCTGAGTCCTGGATCCTGAGTCCTGCATCCTGAGACCTGGATCCTGAGTCCTGGATCGCGAGCCCTGGATCCTGAGTCCTGGATCCTGAGTCCTGGTTGTGCCTGTTGCTGTGGTCCTGGATCCTGAGTCCTGGATCCTGAGTCTTGGATCGCGAGTCCTGGATCCTGAGTCGTGGTTGTGCCTGTTGCTGTGGTCCTGGATCCTGAGTCCTGGATCCTGAGTCGTGGTTGTGCCTGTTGCTGTGGTCCTGGATCCTGAGTCCTGAATCCTGAGTCCTGGATCCTGAGTCCTGCATCCTGAGTCCTGCATCCTGAGTCCTGCATCCTGAGTCCTGCATCCTGAGCCCTGAATCCTGAGTCGTGGTTGTGCCTGTTGCTGTGGTCCTGGATCCTGAGTCCTGGATCCTGAGTCCTGCATCCTGAGTCCTAGATCGCGAGCCCTGGATCCTGAGTCGTGGTTGTGCCTGTTGCTGTGGTCCTGGATCCTGAGTCCTGGATCCTGAGTCCTGGATCGCGAGCCCTGGATCCTGAGTCCTGGATCGCGAGCCCTGGATCCTGAGTCCTGGATCGCGAGCCCTGGATCCTGAGTCCTGGATCGCGAGCCCTGGATCCTGAGTTGTGGTTGTGCCTGTTGCTGTGGTCCTGGATCCTGAGTCCTGGATCCTGAGTCCTGGATCCTGTGTCCTGGATCCCGAGTCCTGGATCCTGAGTCCTGAATCCTGAGTCCTGGATCCTGAGTCCTGCATCCTGAGTCCTGCATCCTGAGTCCTGCATCCTGAGTCCTGCATCCTGAGCCCTGAATCCTGAGTCGTGGTTGTGCCTGTTGCTGTGGTCCTGGATCCTGAGTCCTGGATCCTGAGTCCTGCATCCTGAGTCCTAGATCGCGAGCCCTGGATCCTGAGTCGTGGTTGTGCCTGTTGCTGTGGTCCTGGATCCTGAGTCCTGGATCCTGAGTCCTGGATCGCGAGCCCTGGATCCTGAGTCCTGGATCGCGAGCCCTGGATCCTGAGTCCTGGATCGCGAGCCCTGGATCCTGAGTCCTGGATCGCGAGCCCTGGATCCTGAGTTGTGGTTGTGCCTGTTGCTGTGGTCCTGGATCCTGAGTCCTGGATCCTGAGTCCTGGATCCTGTGTCCTGGATCCCGAGTCCTGGATCTTGAGTCCTGGATCCTGGATCCTGAGTCCTGGACTTCGAGTCGTGGCTGAACCAGTCACTGTGGTCCTGCCTGACTCTCATCATACTACTTCCCTGATAGCTCCCACAGGATTGTTGACATCCTCGTGGATTCATCTTCTTATTACAGACACATGCATTTCCTAACATCTGGTCTACCTACGCTGTAAAATGTATTATCTCTTCAATTTACACACGGCATCTATTGCACGTCTGACCGTCCTGGGAGAGGGATCCCTCCTCTGTTGCTCTCCCTGAGGTTTCTCCCATGTTCCCCTTTAAACTTTGGGGGGCTTTTATTTTGAAGTCAGGGCTTTTATGATCCTGTCTGAAGTGAAACTTACAGGAATTGAAACTTACTTGTGTATCAGTGTGAACTAGTTGAAATGGCTCAAGTCAAAACAAGGGCAAAATCTACTTCTCATTTGAGTAATCTTGTTGGCACTGGGCGAGAGCTGTTGGTGTCTGAACCGCCAACTGTGAGGGATATCCTGAGGTATGGCATCTACTTGAGGGATCAAAGTAAAGACGACAGGAGGAACTACCAGGCGGACCAGCTGGTGGGTGACATCTTCCCTGGTCTGATTGGTCAGTGGTCCAAAGCGAATGCTCTTTTCAAGCCACCTGTTATTAATGAAAAGGTGACCATCATGTCCAAGCTCAAGGAGGTCTGGAATCAGGCAGTGACGTGTTCCCTTGGGAAGGGCAAACTTGATGCCAAAGAGAGATTCAGTGTCAAGTTAGACCCATTATTTGATATGTTGACTTGCAAGTGTCAGATTAGCAGTTGTGAGAGGGGAGGCTGTAATGGCTGTGTGATCCAAGCCCACATTAAGTGTTCCTGCAGCAGAGAGAAAAGGATTCCTTTAAAAGATCTTGCATACATCAAGGGACAGAAAGAGAAGGTTGGAAGTAAAGGGCCCCACCAAATGGGGGCCCCTGATCTGCAGGAGCACAAGAGACAGGTGGGGACATTGGAAAGGCAGGGGATGGCTGAGGAAAGAAGAAGGAGCAAGGAGGAAAATGCTGCAGCAGCAGACAAGGCAGCCAGGAAGGATGTTAAGAGATGTTTGGCAGATGGTGATGAGGATCTGGAATTGGAGAGTGTTGCTGAAGATGAGTTTGTCCCTGAAGTTGAGCTCTTCCCTGAAACTGAACCTGAGCCTGCAGCTTCAACAAAAGTACAGAAAAACTATGATGATATTCCAAATATTGCGCTTGTAAGGTATGGCATAGGGCTGAGACCAACTGCAGCTCTAATTGATGCAGGAATCATCACAGGGATAGTGGTGGTCTAATGGATAGTGAG